TCCGACACATCTCCTGGGGTTGCATTCCCGTATATGACGCAAGAGGGAATGGGTGGATAGGACTTGTCGTCGAAGCAATGGCTGATAGAACTTGGGCGGACCAAGTCCTCACGCATTATGCGTGCGGCACTTGCAATGCTCGTGCCGTGTCCGGCGGTGTAGATGTATGTTTCCCCTGGTGGGTCAGTGGCACGAGTGCCGAATGCTCTGCGAGTCTCACCAGCCCACGGGATGAATAACATAGTATGCACGCCGTCCGATATTGGCGTCAGCGTTGCTCCCAATTCGTTGCACGCTGAGCGCGTGCCCGACTGTAATACGGCATGCGCGAAATCGTTAAAGTCTCCTGCCTGAAATCGCTGTCAGCAGCTATCTCGCCCAAAGTTTTGGCGAGTTTGTGCGCTTCCTCCAAGTCGACAGCGTGGGGGGTCGGCTTTTCATGATCATAAAGCTCAGAGAAAGGCGCCACATCAATCTGTGGTGGTCTGCTCTGTTTGCCCAGTTGTTCGAGGGTTGGCTGACCCGATGGGGCAGCAGTTGTGGATGCATCGTAAGTCGGAGCAGGTGTCCGAACAGAGCTGGGGGGATTGTGCCGAAGCTGTTGGCGCGAGGATGTGCCCTGGCTTGTTGGGGGCTGCTGTTGTGCGGCTTGGCTGCCCTGGATGCGGAGGGCGATGCGCTGAACCTGCGAAGCCAATGTTTTTTGTGGGACCTTGGGTGGGGTAGGTGGCCTTTGACGTGGCTGTGTGGCTCTGTAATGCCACTTGTTGGCATCATCATCACGCACTGTAGAATAGCTGCGGAGCACAACCGAGGTCCGAGGAGGCGTCGATGAAGCACGCCTGGTGTCCCTGCGAGAACGGCTTCTGCGAGTGTCGCGGGATCGATGGTGTCTGCGTCGGCGGTGCTGTCTGCCGCTGCTTGCAGGCCGTGCTCGGCTGCGCGTGTGTCGACGGCGTCTAGTGCTCGCGGTGCGAGTCCTGCTGCGTGTGGGTGAATGCCGTCGTCTGCGTGGCAGCGGAGGATGATGGGGGGAAGTACGGGCTGCGAGCTGGTCAGTGTCTGCCGATCCCGTATCTGGGGGTGGTGGTGGTTGTGCGGGTGGTACTGTATTGATAGAAGGGGTATTGGCTGTGTTTGTTGGTTGTTGCTGTTGGGGTGTCATTGCCGGTGTCTGCGGGGCAGTGTATGCAGCATCGGCAGTGGGAACACTGGTGGGGTGGGGTTGTGGAGCTTGTTGAATTGTTGTTGGCGGCGGTATGTGGGATTGTTGAATGGGCTGTGTGGGAGGGATGTTGCAGGGTGCAAGTTGTGGTTGTGGGGCAGGTGGTGCAAAAGGAAAGTTGAATGTAGTAGGTTGGGCCTGATGCTGTGTCGAAGCGGATAGGCTCATGGGAAAAGCTGTTGGATGGGTAGGCACAAGTGCAGGATTCATGAGCGGTGTGGGTTGTTGTGACATGAATTGCTGGGGTGGTGGTTGTTGTGGCATCTGGGGTTGTGGTGTGCTGAGATGTGCGTAGATTGTCGGATGCTGTGGGATAGGAGCGGTGTGTCCACACGGCATCATAGGGAAGCCGTGTGTTTGCTCAAGAGGAATCGGAGTGGGTTGTGTTGGCAGTGTGGGCTGCTGAGTGGCAGCAATGCCGGTTGGCATCATTGCTGGGTAGCTTTGAGACTGCGGTACCCAGGTGTTCTGGTGAAATTGATTAAGCGCCGGTCGGGCTGTTGGTGCATATGGTGTTGCTGGTGGCTGCGCGGCAAAATGTTCCGGCCACATAGCTGCAACGAAGCGGGTGAAACACACACAGTTGCACAAGCAAAGTGCAGGCTGTCCTGATTGTCCCTGCTGGACTGATTTGAGAGGTCGTAGACGGAGAGAAGGAAGGTGGAGGGCCGAGTACTCTCCGGAGAGAGCGCTGCTTCACTTGCTGTAGACATCTTTACCACGTCTGCACTCATGACAGATGCACATGCCCTTGCAGTCCCTGAGGAATAGAGAAGTGAAAAAACGGGGCAGAATAGAGAGAACCTGTGCATTAGCGGCCGGTTACTGCACTAGACGTCGGTTACTGCAACTGCACTCATGTCAGACTCACATGCGAGCATCAGAGAGAGAGAGATAAAGTAGCATCTGGAGAATCTGAACGATCTGAACGAAGGCTGAACACCCGGTTCATCACCGGTCTCCCCGGAGGGTCACCACGGCGCCTTGACGGAAAGCCGTTGCTCTGGAGTCTCATAGACCCACGCTGATCACACTGATGGATTCGGCCAAGAGTACGAGTGCAAGAGGAAAAAGAGAGGCATGTTGTTCATGTTGCAAAAGCTTGTCAGATTGTGGCAACCGTACAACTTGTTTGTTGTCGAATCAACCGCCAAAAGTGGCAACTGAAAACTCTCTAATCTTGGCACAGGGGCCTTCTAATCGGGCTGGCACAGGGGCCCCAGCTCAATTTTGTGCAGGTACAAGGTTTGGCGTCCCAAACCTCTTCCCATGGTGTTGCTAGCTTCGTTGGCCAGCGTCACAACACCATGCGCTGGCCCCCTGCAACATTTGAATCGTTAAATGTCAAATGTCTGATTGAGTTGCAAAGCAAAAATTGCAAACAGTGTAGGAGTGACCCTCTGCTCCCATGTGCTAGGGAGGTTCACACACACACACACACACACACACACACACACACACACACACACACACACACACACACACACACACACACACACACACACACACACACCACACACACACACACACACCACACACACACACCACCCACACACACACCACACACACCCACCACCCACACACACCACCCACCCACCCACCCACCCACCCACCACACAACACACACCCACACACACACACACACACACACACACACACACACACACACACACACACACACACACACACACACACACACACACACACACACACACACACACACACACACACACACAGACACACACACACACACACACAGACACACACACACACACACAACACACACACACACACACACACACACACAGACACACACACACACAGACACAGACACACACACACACACAGACACACACACACAGACACACACAGACACACAACACACACAGACACACACACACACACAGAACACACACACCCACACCCCACAGACACACACACACGACACACACCACACAGGACACACACCACACACAGAGACACACACACAGACAACACACACAGCACACACACCACACACACACACACACAGAGACACACACACAGAGACACACACCAGAGGACACACACAGAGTACACACACAACACACACACACACACACACACACACACACACACACACACACACACACACACACACACACACACACACACACACACACACACACACACACACACACACACACACACACACAGACACACACACACAGACACACACACACAGACACACACACAGACACACAGACACACAGACACACACACAGACACACAGACACACAGACACACACACAGACACACACACAGACACACACACAGACACACACACAGACACACACAGACACACACACAGACACACACACACACACACACACAGACACACACAGAGACACAGACACACACACAGACACACACAGAGACACACACACACAGACACACACACACACACACAGAGACACACACACACACAGACACACACAGACACACACAACCACACAGACACCACAACATACACGACACACAGACACACACACAGACACACACCACACACAGACCACACCACACACACACACCACACACACCACACACACACACACACACACACACACACACAGACACACACACCCACACACACCCACAGCCACACACACCCACACACCCCCACACCCCACACACCCCCACACCCCCACACCCCACACACCCCCACCCACCACCCACACACCCCACACCCCCACACACACCCACACACCCACACACCCACACACCCACACACCCACACACCCACACACCCACACACCCACACACCCACACACCCACACACCCACACACCCACACACCCACACACCCACACACCCACACACCCACACACCCACACACCCACCCACACACCCACACACCCACACACCCACACACCCACACACCCACACACCCACACACCCACACACCCACACACCCACACACCCACACACCCACACACACCCACACACCCACACCCACACCCCACACCCACACACCCACCACACACACACACACACACCCACACACACACACACACACACACACACACACACACACACACACACACACACACACACACACACACACACACACACACACACACACACACACACACACACACACACACACACACACACACACACACACACACACACACACACACACACACACACACACACACACACACACACACACACACACACACACACCCACACACACACACCCCACCCACACCCACACCACACACACACCCCACACACACACCCACACCCACACCCACACCCACACCCACACCCACACCACACCCACACCCACACCCACACCCACACCCACACCCACACACACACACACCCACGTTGCACACCCACACCACCCACCCACCCCCACCCCAAAACCCCCACCCCCACCCCGCACCCCCACCCCCGCACCCCCGCAGCACGCACCCGCACCCGCACCCGCACCGCACCCGCACCCGCACCCGCACCCGCACCCGCACCCGCACCCGCACCCGCACCCGCACCCGCACCCGCACCCGCACCCGCACCCGCACCCGCACCCGCACGCACCCGCACCCGCACCCGCAACCCACACGCACACGCACACACACATGCACACGCACACGCGCATAGAGACAACAGGTGATTCTGGTTTGCTAGCTTCTAGCGAAGCTACTTGGGTACCGAGCTTGTCTGGTGTTAATTTGTATGATTTTTGAATTCTCTGGATATGCCATATGGATGTTGTGGATGCATGACATCGGATGACTGCTGAGGTGGCTGCCGACGCAAAGGACGTCGAAACCTTGTGTGCCCTGGCCTACTTGGAGTCCAGGACGGGCCAGGCAGGTTTTGGGATGCCTCGTCTCTTCATGAATCCAGCGCATGTGGCTCGCATTAAACATAGTGACCGACAGAGTTCAAGAGTACCGCTGCCATGCGAGGGCACGGAAGCGAAGCAAAATTCTTCTTCATGGATGGCGCAGGCCATGAAGGCCGATCCGCCGCTTGCTCGCATTGGATGTGGCGTACCGAGGGACCAGCTTGGGCGAAATCGTGCGTTCCGTACCGGCACCAACTGATCTTGCAGCTTAGCCAGTTACCGATGAAATCAGAGTTGGGGGGATGGATACACCCTGACAGAGACCTGTGCATCAGACCTGACAGCTCGAATCAGCTCGATACCTGCACTCCAGGTTTGACCAGAAGGCTGAGCAAAGCACATCATAGTCGGATGATTCAGCAAGGACATGGCAAAGAACCAAAACAGCAAAACATGAGGTGCAAACTGGAGACCGGAAAACCGACCATCAGCCTAACTCGGCAGGCTGTCGCACATGCAACCTGCTGCAGATGTGGAATTGTCGGTGAACCGGTTCTGCTGCGGTGTGCGAATGCAAGCATTGCAGCCAAACGGTGTGAACGAGGAGGTGCACCAACTTGACGCCCTTTGCAGGTTTGGGTCGAGGGCCAACCACTTTCCCGCATGTGCATTTCGGACAGTTCCAGCCCGGCCAGCAATCGATGGCTGAGGTGGTCATTCCATTTAGACTTGGGCAAACAGTGGCATGATCGCCAAGAGCGCCGTAGGGGCGAGGCCCAGCCCCCCGACGCCCCCCCCTTCTCCTTTGGTCGGTCGGCCCCCTTCCTCCCTTCACCTTCAGGTCCATCTGTTTACGCAACATGACAACTTGCCTTTGTGTTTACGCAGCCGGGTGCGTCTATGTGGCAAGCTTCTCGTAGATGGCCGAGTTATTGCTTAAGCAGGGACATTCCGGAAGTCAATGAGGTCGGTCCAGGTAAGTACTACGGTACATCAAATTTGTATGTGGGCCAGTGTGCAGCAGAGGAACTGTATCATCTTGCAGGTGGAAGCTTCATGGCAATACATATGTGCCTGCACCCACGGTGCCGAGCATGCACGCAACAACGACCAAGCTCTATCGACTTTGCTTCTTTTTTTGCCCTAGCAGCTTTCGTGGCCTCTTCTCAAGTTGAAACAGTGACGAGCCCTAAGCGCATGCCGACCACAAAGGACTCATCCTGCAGTTGCAGGCTCAGTGATGGCACCCCCGACGCCTAGCATGTGCATCATGGTTGTCGTAACCACCTTCGTCATGGTGCGCTGCTTGGTGCACTTAGGTCTTGTGCCGAGCTGCTGACCATTCGTTTAGTTGTGGTCTGCAGGAGGGGCCATGCTCTAAGACTCTGTACAGCTGAGCTGTGAGAGCACAGCCACACAATTTGGCAGGAAGCTCGTGCCGGCAAGGCCAACCAACGCACTATGTGGAAAGGTCGTGTTCAAGCTTCATTCAACCACGGTTGTTTCAGAAAGCCGCAGGGATTGCATGAAGGTAAGGCTTCCAAGGTTTTATGTGCCTTCATGCACAATCGCACTCGGTTCGGATGCTTGTCGCAGGCAGGCAGTCTAGGGCCCACTCGATTCCTGGGCAAGAAGAGCTGCACCTCGCGTAGTCATGTCCAGACGAGGAACAAGGCATACGGCCAGACAGGGCGAAACTCCACAAAACAGGATGTGATTATGCAAACCTCAAGGACCAGGGAAAGCTACCGGCAAGGGTTATGCAGCACGTAGAAAGGTCGCCTTCAAGCTGTTCACTTGTAACGTCTGCATGCATGGCAGGGGGCCTATCCGCCTATCTAATGTCGGGGGATGACCAGTAGCTGTGGCAGGTGGCAATGGGTTGCAATAGTGCTGGTGCCATTTGCCCGTGGTCTTGCTGCATTGACGGTTCTGGTGCCGGGGTGGGCGGTGGTGATGCTGGAGGTCCATGTCATGTTTCAGGTGTGAGACTCAGACTTGGGGTTGCAAACCGCTCTAGGTGCGTCATGCGGCCTGAAGCTCTGGAAACTTTGAGATGTTCCTGCCGCGCTCTCCATTCTAAGTTCATGTCTGCTGCAACAACCTGGCTTCAAATGTCACGTTAGTGCCCACTGGCGGTCAATGGCGGTCATTCATGCTGTCAGCTGTCAGCGAGCAGTGTTTGTGCAGCTTGACCAGGCTCTCCCTGATGCTTGGAAGCTGGCAAAGAAACTGCTAGACAGGCAGGACGGTGGGAACCGGTTTGGTGAGAATACACTAGAATAATTGCTGTGAAATACACATGCTGGGTTGCATCGCACCTGTTGCTTGGATCCGTGAGTTTTGCTGATCTTTGGTGCCGAGACTTGAGGCTCGACATATCGACGGCTAGTTTTCCCGGCAAGTCTGCACGACTCTAGGCCCTTCCTCCTTCACCAAAACCGTGCAGCTTACCACAATTGAAGTCAACTCGGTGGCATGCGCCCGCTGACCCTTACCAAGACCGCAGCAAAATCGACAAATCAGCTGCAATGTCAAGCAAGCATTTCAGTTGTCAGAGAGTTCGCAGTCAACCTGGTAAGTAGAAGGCGAACAAGAGGTGTGCGTGTCTATTTGGTTCTGCAAGCGCGGTCGAACAGAACATGCCAGTTGCACACAGAGCGCTGTTGATTCGAAGGCATGGACTCGTCCAAGCCTTTTGTCAGGAAGAGTAGGATTGAAGCGTAATTAAGAATAACGAAGCTCTGCCCCGATCTTTCCAAGTTCAGGCGTGTCACAATAGCATGCAGGACTCCAGGACCCCCAGTTAGTTGCCAGCGGCCCATCGCAGCGCGGCGATGAAATTGACCCATTCTCCGGTGGGTGGGTTCTATCGGGTGCCGCTGGTACTGCGGGCTTAGAGTGCATGGTATTGAGCTTTGAGAATTATGTGACAGGGCCTTGGAGAACAGCGATGTGCCACAGGTTGTGGCTGAAGCAGTGGTCTCGGATGCAGCAAAAGTCAATTCGCTGAGGCTTGTTTCATTGGCACGACTTGAGGTCCGGTACCAACTTGGGAGAATGGAACATGCACTAGGCCGTTTCAGCGAGGTGGGATCTAGGACATGAGATGCAGCTGGGAAAGGCACTCCATCATTTTGGCGAGGCTAGAGAATTGTACAAGCAATGCGTCCAGATTAACCCTGATCATCTTGCAGGGGCCTGGGGCTTGGAATGGCTTGATTTCTGTGCCGTTGATTCTCTGCTTGCACAGCCTCGGAGGTCTATGTCTTTGCCCAGTGCCTGGTGCACGAGCGGTATTTTTCACAAGCCGTCACAGTCCTCGAGAAGGCAGGCCTTTCCAAGCGCCTGCCGCAGTTTCCCGCAGTCCTGCAAAACCTAATGCATTTCCGAACGAATGCTCCGAATTTTAAGGAAGGTCACCGCATCGGGGGCACCAGTGCAGTTGAATGTGTGAGCTTTCCTGATCATGCGCGCCTGCACATGCCGATATCTTCCGAATACGTGTCGTAGACATGGGAAGCAGGGTAGGGTTTGAAAATATGGCTTCCTCCGATTCGTGCAAGAGACGAAAATGGCACCCAAGAAGCACTCGCCGAAATCCAGAGCAACGCCGACAAGGCTGAAATTCGAAGACACCGCTTTGGTGGGGGATGGCAGGGGACAGCCTGACTCTGCAACCCCAACACAAGCGGCAGACAACAAGGGTTCCGCAGACGCCATTCGAACGATGGACATTGTCACGACGAAGGTGGAAGACATTAGTGACCATGAACATGCGTGTTCGCACGGTACCACTTTGCAAGTTCTAGGACATTCTTTTTGATTCTGGGTTGGTGAAACGTGTGCTTTGTCTGGCATGCCAGGCACCGCCACAGCTGCGCAAAGAACCCCAGGCCTGCGTTCCGCTCGCATCCCCGGCCTCGGCGCATGAGCTCACATTGATCTTATGGAGGTCAAAAAGCTGTTGACGGCCGCCTACCTAGCAACAGGAGAGCACGACAAGCAGGCAGGAGGTGAAGTGCGCCGTTGCTGTTGTTGACAGTCATGTCAATGTAACATGTTCGGGCTGCCAATGTCAGTCTACTATCAGTTATGCATTTCCTCTAAACACCAAACCCAGAAATCCCAACCCTGCCTGCCGCGACCCCAGAGTCCCACAGGCAACCCATCACATGCAGCTCAACTGTCAAGCTGATTGGAGCACTCCACCAAAATGATGCAAGCAAGATACGAAGCCCCCATTAGGAACCTTGGGCATTGAAACCTTCATTCTGGGTGAGTGTCTTCTTGACATGTGCTATTCTGATGCGGGCTTCGCTGCTCGAACCTTGCGAGCTTTCCCTGCACAACTTGCAAGCCTAAGAGCTTCGGAAGTCTTCCCAACACGCAGCTGCATTCCTGGGCCTGCATGTCTGCGGAATGGCACAAGGACTGAGCTCAGTTGACAGGTCTGCTACACCTTGCCACACTGTAACGTTCCGTGTCCAGGAGGTCAAGGTTCCGACGACGCCTTGAAGGCCTTGGGATGCCTTGGGCAGGGCTTTTGGAAAGGTCGCGGCTTCACCAACTTGGCTGCCAGGCCCAGGCTCAGGCTCTGCCAGCTTTGAGCACTCGCATTGTCTTCACGTTGGCTGGCCAGACGCTGGAGGGAAAGGTGAGGCCCTTCTGAAAATTCGCGTGCATGTTGCAAAGTGTCTGCCAGGTTGGTTTTGCTGGGGAGACGGAGTTTGCTCCGGGCAACTGGGTTGGTGTGATACTGGATGGCCCGTATGGCAAGAATGACGGATCAGTGAAGGCAGATGCTGCCAGTCCTGCTGCAGAGGTTGTCAAATGAGTTGTTGCAGGATAAGCAGTACTTCAACTGCGCACCTCAACATGGTCTTTTCGTCCGACCGCAGAACATTGTCCAGGCGCTTGTGAGTGAAGTGCACTCATTCAGAACACCACGGAGCGAGCCATCGATAGAACTTGCCGGGATGCCCGTAGCAGGGCGTACGAATGAGCTTGTGTCCTGCACTCCTGCACTACAGGCACATTCGATCGACTCCTTGGCCGATGTTTTCTTAAAGCCCCTCGCAGGCAACCGATGCGAATGGACGGATTTTGCTCCGACGGAAGAGTTTGGCATCAGGCGCAAGCTGACCTCCAGCTTTCAGATGTTCAGCTGTTATCGTAACTGCATGGATGTCGCTGCTGCTTCCTTTTCCTTGAGGCAAGCTTGGGTCTGGTCACGCGACTTGGCCTAAACGACGAGGCCATGTGTCGGCTTTGGCTCTGGGGCACTCTGAGGACGTGAAGCGGGAAAGCGTTGCTGTGACCGGATCCTCAACTCCGAAGCGCGGCTCTCTGGCAGTGAACCCTCTGCAGGCTGGGCTCTGGGCTGCCTTCAAGCAGAAGCTACAGTAGCTGCGCAAGCTTCTGGCATACTTCTGGCAGTAGAAATGGGCCTGATCAAGCGGCTTTCCAGCCGAAATCTTGGAAAGGAGTTGCTCGAGATGCAGAGCGAAAAGGCAGCACAAGACAGGCGTGTCTCGCAGATGACTCCTGGCTGCCTATCTTGGGTGAAATGGATATGCGATGCGGGCGAGGTCATTTGACTTCGAGAGTAGCGACAGTATAACCGTATAACCATGGCGTTTCAGGACATCCGAATTGGATGCGGCCCGGCGAGCGTCGACAGCGGCGTTGGATGAGGTCCACCAGCTCATGCATGCTATGCAAAGTGGCCGCGAGGAGTGCAAGACCAGCACCGTCCTCAACTTTTCTCAGAGCTTTCTCTTCTCTTGGTGTTGGTACATGTAAGGCCTGCAGGATGCCCAGCTGGCATCCGAAAGGCTCGGGATCTTGCCATTTTCTGGCGTTAGTTTGCGATAGGATCTCGAAGGGACGCGAGCCAGTGAGTCCTCGTGACTCGAGATTGGAAGGTCAGGGCAAGGTCAGGGATTCCAGAGATGGCTGTCCTGCTCTGGTGGAGGCAGTGCTCTGAGATGCTCGACAAGCTGGAAAAATCCGAGGAAACAGCTGCGGAGGCAATGAAGACCTCGGAGTCCTGGCTTGGTGACGGCTAAGCGGCTAATCCTCCGATCGCCGATTCATTGCGAGCATCGCTTCAACAAGGATCACTTTGCGGCCGCCTTGAGGAAGGCTGAGGAAGATCTCAAAGCTAAATCGGAGGCCGTCCGTGGAACATACTGGTATCAACGCTTTCGACATTTAAGTGGAGTAATCTGACTCCTGGTAAGTTGGTTGGCAGCTTTGCTGCGCCTTTTGGAAGTCGGTGCAAGCTGCAAGATCTGCTTCCAGCTTGCACACATTTTGCCACATTCCCCCCGGAGCTGGAGCCGATTGCTTGTCTACGCTGTGCAGAGGCGCTGAGCACTGCGGATGCCGAGCTTCACAGGCACACCACGTTGTTTGGCCTGTACGCGACAGCTCGTGACCGATGTTGAGGCAAGAAGTTGCACAAGCAGAAATGACTAAGCTCAGGCAAGAGCTTAGTGTGGGGGCCCTTCGCTGCCAAACGTCACTTGGAGCTCTGCTGCCTTCGGACACACGGTTTTGATTTTCCTGCTTCTCAGGTCGAACAGCAGCTGTCGTTCTCCAAAGCTGAGGAAGTCAGTCGGTTGGAGAACAGCTTGCGGCAGGCAGTGGGGGTGTTTACACATGATAATGAGGTCCCTGACAGTGTTCCCTGAAAGAAATTGAATTTTTGCGGTCTGTGCCTTGTCAAGGAACGCCAGAGATGTGAATCTTTGCAAGAAGATTGGCGCAACGCTTCTCGCCGCAGACTACGTCAGAACTCCCATGTGGGAAGCAGTCTTTGGGCCCTGTAGAAGAAGGCTAGGGCGGACAGATCTCTTTTGTCCCCTCGGGACCCGTTTGAGCTTCATTCTCCAGAGCCGATGACCAAGGCACAGAGCATGGCTGACACAGCTCGCGCTGAGCTGCTGCAAGCAAGCCGCGCTCACTTTGAGCAAGCAAAGGATGCCATGAAGTGCAGAGCCAGCACACCACGTATTCTCACTGTCTCCATTGCTTCAGACGGCTTCCTTTGTGAGACTTCTTGGCAGGATGTTGAGGCCATGTCGGTGAAAGCAGCACGAAGGCATTCAGAATTTCTGCAGGAAGTGCAGGACGTCGAAAGCCTGCGAGTGTTCTAGAACAGGATGTGATGCTGATAATTATGTACCCTCACGCATCGATGACGGCTCCCCAGCTTTATTTGCAGGAGTTGCGCGACGAGCTTTCGGAGGAGCGCCGCAAGTTGCGCGCGAAGGACATTCAGAAAGCATGTGCGTGTGATGCTCTCACTGGCTCCCATCCAAGCATGCTTGCCATTACCGGTGCTACAGGCAGCATCATGTGTGGGGATCTCCATTTGTAGATGTTCAGCCGTTTGATGCCGTTTGGAAAGGAACAATCCTTCCAAGGAATGCCCGGATCTTGTCAGGGGAGAACCATGCAATACTGCTGATGCTGTGACAAGATGCTTCCCGCAACCAATCCAGCTCACGGGCAAAGTCGGAAAGAGGGAATCGACTGTTTCTTTGCCATCTTGTGCCGATAGCACGCTGCTGAAGCCGTGTCTTTTCATGTCTTGTTTTGGTATCTGATTCCATGGCAGTGCTCAGACTATGCTGAGTAGGAGAACCGTCCACGGATGTCCACGGGGGTGTGCAGAAGTAAATGTCATATATGGTCACGCGCTTCGTCTCCCCCCCAAAGGTCAATGGTCAGGATATAGGGTGGGGCCCCCCCTCCCCTGCCTCCCCTGTGGTGTGGGGTGTGGGGTGTTCTTCCCCCTGTGGGGTGGTTGTGGGGTTTAGGGATTTATGATTTAGGGTTTGCCAAATATCTCCAGAAGTGAAGTGACGCGGTGTTGTGGTGCTCAAGTTCTGAAAGGCGGATGTCAGGCCAATGGTTGGCGCCCGTGCTCTTTGAAGCGAGGCAGCTTCTGAGTTTCGGCGGCGGCTGCACAGGCTCTCCTTGGGGAGCAATATTGCTGGCCATCCTACTGGCTTTTCTCTTTGGCTGCTGTTGCGGCGGTTGCATTGCCCTTCTGGCTGTTTCTGCTAACTGCCGCCGGCTACTGCACGGGCTTTTTCGGCTGATCCTGGCTGAGGTTTGGGCTGCGCCTATTGGGGCCTTGACCGCCGAGCAACGATTGGCTGAATACCGCCGACGTGCATGAGTGACCAGGACCCCGACCTCGAGGCCTTGACTATTTCCTTTGCTGGTCTGGACATCACTGTTCGGAGGCGGGCATCTCGATCGACCCATGGGCCCTCGGAGGGGGACTTCGTACTTGTGGAGGCTCCGACCTCGGAGCCGACCCCGGCCTCAGAGGAGGCCCTGCTCGAGGCCTACTCTGCCTCGGCGTTGGCTGCTCTGCACCTTCCTCAGCTGGCTCGGTACACCGATCGGCTCACTGGTTCGGGCGGCGAGTGGACGGCAGCTGCTAGGACAGCTCGGGCTTACCGGGCCGGTGTTGGTGCCAGGCGCTTCCTGGCTGGTGGTCACAAGATCTCCTCGCCACCGGCGGCGGGGCTGCGGAACGTGTACTATATCGTCCTTTCGGGCTCCCGATTACCCTGCAGGCTTCTGGACAAGGAGCTTTCAGGTTTATTCGGAGGCCGTGCGGGCCCGAGACGGTCCCCGCGGCTCTTTTGATCGAGCGAGCGCCTCGCAGGCCTTTGCGAGCCAGAGCGAAGTGGAATCCTACCTTCTCGGCGCGGCCCGAGAATGGCCGGTACATCGTCCGTGAGGCGGGCTTTGACCCGCGAGGCCGTGGAGGGGCTGGCCGGCGGGATTGTGGCCGACCGGCCTTTGCCGCCGGCCTATCTGGTTTTGGCTGGGATTGGAGAAGATCGGCGGGACGACTTCGCTGTCGCCTTCCTGCTTCGCTGCCGGGCGAATGGCTTCATGGTGGCCGTTCCGAATGTCACCCGGGTCCGCGAGTACGTCGAGGGCCTGGTCATGGAGGACGGGGACTCGTGCAGCGGGAGCAGGTACAGGCCGAGACGGTGAGGGGTCGGCACCTGGGACCTTCACACGTGTTGCTGCTGGACCTTCCCTTGGAGTGCCTTAGAGCATCTGGCTTCACCTCAGGCCCTTCGGGGCCTCACCGATCGAGCTGCTCGCGTGGTCACTCTTCAGGTTGGGGACACCCCAGGGCGTCCTTGCTCAGGCGACACCCTGGACGCTACCGCCCGCTGGGTAGACGGCTCAGGAGTACTATGCCAGTGCTCAGGAGTTGGAGGCCGAGCTCCCCGAGGAGGCGGCCGGCGCGTGCCGGGGCTTCGGACCTTCAGTCGCTTAGCTCCCGCCCAGTGGCTTGCAGCAAACCTAGCATACTTGAAAGACCTCGATTATGCCGAGACCCGAATCTCTCAGCTAGCTTCCAGCCGTGCCTCGCCTTTGCCTGCTTTTGACGCTCAGTGTACAGACCTGATCGACCCCCTTAATTTAGCTGACCTTTTAGTTAATTCCTTTTTCGGTTCTAGGACCTGCCTTGCTGAATTCACCAAGGACTCCCTAAGGACCCGAGCCTGCACAGTGGAGATCAAGGCTGTTGCGCCTCCTTTGGCCAGTCCCGCCACCCAGGTGGCGATGGACAGGTTGCAACCGCGGCGGAAGCCGTTCTCGCAGACGCTTGCGCCGACTCCGGGTGCGCGCTCGATTGCTGCAGCTAGTTGTTTGTGCACTTAATTGGGAATGCCTTGGTCACCCTTGCCTCGCCCCTGTAGGAGCCCGGATAGGTGACCCTACGACCCAAGCGCAGGAAAGAGTGCTCGACCACCTCGAGTTTCAGCTAGATCACCTGCTTCGTGTGCCTTCCTTCGTTGCGGATGATTTGGGCCGAGCCGCGGATAAATTAGCTAGCCTCAGTCAGGTTATAAAGGAACTGCCCCGAGACAACCTTAGGGACGTGGACCTTCTTGATTGGGCTGCTTCTTTGCATTCTTCCTTCCTTCCTTACCAGCACATCAGAGACAGCCCAGCGAAACAGCATGTAGCTAGGGGTTCTGAACAAAGCGCCGGCCTGGATCGTGCTTCCTGTCCGCCTGAAGCGGTGAGTGCACCTCAGCAGCCAGTTCGCTTTATCAACTTTCGCAGCGGGACGGCTCTGCCAGTCACCGCCAGCCGGATTAAGTGGAGTAGCCCACCTAGCTTCGACCCGACCCCGTACCTTGACCCCGTGTTGCAACACGCTTTTGCCAATCCCGACTTCCTGAGAAAACCCAAAGGTGACTGGCCGAAGCTCGCTCCCGCCCGCATCCACTGCTCGAGAGCTGAGTTGCTTAAGCTGGGGGAACTGTGGGATCGAATGGGTTCTGTTAGGGTCACTCCGGCTTGCAATGTTGATTGGGACGAAGCTGTGGGGATATTCATTATTCGCCGTTGCAAAGAGCGCTGTTCGGGATAGACTCATAATAAACCCTTGCGTTGCCAACTCACGCTCGCATAGCATTTCGAGGTTCTCGAAGTCTCTTGCTCCGGGCTGCTTGCTGACCATGCTTTCCCTTGAGCCCCACCTAGGGTTTAGCATTCACGCCGACGACTTAACCGACTACTATTACACATTCCAAGTGCCCGAGAAAAGAGCATTACGCAAAAGCCTGCGGTGCTTGTTCGCCCCGGCTGAAGTGGCTCACCTCTCGGCTGCCCAGGGTTTAAACTACTATGGCCATGGGTGACTCGCTAGCAGTTGAGGTGGGGCAGTCTTCACATTTTCAGGTCCTTAGGCAGCATGCTGGGGCACTCCTCCCCAACGAGACTCTCCTTTGTAGGCACCCGATCCCTAAGAGCAGTACCGTAGAACTTCTCTCAATCGACGACCATGTCAGTCTTCAAAAAGTTCCTTTGAAGCAGCTGCCGAAGGCCCCACCGCTTTTGGACACCGCCATCTTCAGTGCCGCGCAAGCCTATAAGCATACGGGCCTCGTGTTGAATGATGACAAGAAGCGCCGTAACCTCACTAAAGCTTGCGTGCTGCGTGCTCGGTGCTGAAGTTGATGGCCTGCAGGGCCTCGTAGGGCCTCCGAGGGATCGCGTGTTGAGCTTGGCACTGCTTAGCATGCATCTCGCAAAAAGAGGGCATGCCACGAGGGAGCTCTTGGACCGGATCGTCGGCTGTTGGGTGCATGCGCTCATGTTTCGCAGTGCGCTTTTTCGTGAGGGCATGAGCTTGCCGAGGAACCAAGTGTCCAGAATGTCAAACAAAGCTTGAAACGAGCTTCAGATGCTTGGGTGTTTGCCGAGCACTCTGGTGTGCGACTTGCGTGCAACCTACGACCCCGAACTGTGCTGTCTAGATACGCGCCACGACCTTGGGCTCTAGCGCGACGGCCGAGCTGTGGAGGCATGGGGAACTTCGGGGTTACCACACGCGTCTTGAGTCCAGTGTATCAGCTTTGCTCAGCGAGAAGGGTATTAGCCACGAGGGTGATAAGTTGTTCGGTGAGTGTGCCGGTGTCCCTGCCGAGTTTCAGCACCAAAGCCGTTGGGACCCGTTTGTTCCAAAGCCGCTTCGGGAGGGGTTGCTGGTTGCTTTACGACGCCATTGTGCTGTGTTCCCGCAAGGACTCCTGGGGCTTAGCTTTAGAGGCTTCGGGGTTGAAAGTGTTGTTTGCGCTCGGCAGCCATGGGACTGACCCAGCTTAGAAGTGTGACCTCAGCCCTTCCACCATTCGTGAGCTGCTGGGTTTGGCCGCTCGGCACGTCACCCGGGAGTGGCATTGCTCCCTCTGCTGGCCGGAGCTTGGGCCTTTGAAGCGACGGTTCCCTCCCGACCGGAGCGAGGCCTCCCTGAGAGCCGCTCGCCAGATTGGCTTCATCATGACTGCTGCTGTTCGTTGCGAGCAATTCGTCTCTTTCGAGCAACCGCACAAAGCAACGACTTGCAAGCTTGAGTGTTTTCGCACGCTTGTGCGGCTAGGCTGCATTCTGACTTCATTCTGCCACTGCGGCTATAGGAGCCCGTACCTCAGGGACACCGACGTCCTTCACAACAAACCCTGGCTCTGCAATCTTGAGCGCCGCTGCAACTGTTCCCGCTCTGAACATTGGCCGGGCGAGGGTACCTTCAACAGTGCAAACCTAGCCGCTTTTGCTTCGCCGGCCCAGCCTTGAACGGGTCTACGGGCGCGCTCCTTCAGAGGGTGAGACCTTTGCCGCGTTTGGCAACGTGCTGCCTTTCGGCTTGGGGTCCCGCATCGGGGCCGGTTCTGCTGTTCTGCTTCTGCCGCTCGGGGATTCATCCCGGCACTGCCCCTTGAGCTGCGCCTGCGCACTGCAAAGCGCTTCGGGATTGAGCTGGGACTTGAGTTGGTGAGCGGCTGCAGCCAAGAGCCTCCCTTCGAGGCGGGCAGCTGGCATGAGGACCCTGAGTGGATCTCTGAGATTTGCCGCTCGCTGCAGTTTCGCGAGCTGTTCCGCTACGCCTTCAAGAAGCCGGGGCACATCAACGTGAACGAGGCCCGGGTCTACAAGACTTGGGTGAAATCTCTTGCCCGGCGCTGCCACAACATTCGTGCCACCGCTCTGCTTGATTCAAGGGTCACGATTGGGGCTGCCGCCAAGGGTCGCTCTAGTAGCTTTGCGATTTCTCGCATTCTTCAGGGCTCTTTGGGTTACGTTTTGGGTTCAGGGCTTTACAGTAGCCTCCTTCACGTGTACTCTGGTGACAACGTTGCTGACAACCCAACCCGTAATAAGGAGGTCCCTAAGCCCACTCGTGAAGTGCCTCGCTGGCTGGAGGAGCTCTGTCGTGGCGACTGTGCGGCTTTCGAGGCCGTCACTGCAGCAGCGCGCGTGTCTCGGAATGCGGCCCGCTGGCTTCGGTTCCTGTTGCTCCTGGCGGGGGACATAGAACGGAACCCGGGGCCCACTCGGGTGCCTCCGACTCCCAGGGGGCCACTCGACCTCGACGCGGGGTTCGCTACGAGCACAGCCCATAAGATGTCTAAGAGCTTCGCAGGCTTTAAAGCATGGATCGTCGAACACGTTTGCAGCTCTCCTGAGTCTGTTTTCTTGAACGCCGAGACCACTGCAATGGCTTTGCGGGGCTACGGGCTTCACTTGTACCAGGAGGGCCTTCCGAGGTACTTGTTCGTCTACGCCATAACGGCTGTTCAGGATGCATACCCGCAGCACCGCAATTTTCTTACAGCTGCTTGGCAGATCGACAAGATTTGGCAACGGGCCGAGCCTGGCGAATGCCGCCCCGTTTTGCCGGTTGCAGCCGTTCGTGCTTGCATTAGTGTTGCCCTGCTTTGGGCCTGGAACCGATGGGCTTGCTTAGTCATCATCGGCTTTCTGGCAATGCTTCATCCTGGAGAGTTGGTTTTGCTGACGCGCCGCGACTTAGTTTTCCCTGAGGACAACCTGGGCCACACCACAAGCTTGTTTGTGCACTTGAGGAGCCCGAAGACCAGTCGGTTTGCTCGGCGTCAACACGGCCGCATTGACGATGCGGCAGCGATCGCTTTCCTGTTCACGACGCTGGGACAGCTGCGACCGGAGGACCGCATTTACCTTGCTTCTCTTCACAGCTTTCGGCGTCAATGGGACGCTGTTTTGAGCAGGCTGGGGTTGCCGGTGCGAGCGGCCGACAAAGGCGCGACTCCTGGCGTCCTTCGGGGCTCAGGAGCCACTTGGTTCTACATTTGCACTGAGAACATTCCTTTGCTGGCTTGGCGTGGGCGTTGGGCCAGGGTAAAAACTCTTGAGTACTACTTGCAGGAGGTCGCGGCACAAGTACTTTTGGCTGAGCTTGACCCTGCTTGCAGAGCCAGGATCAAGCTCCTTGACAAAGCCGCTGACAGCTTGCTTTGCCACTTTTCTGGTGCTACGCAGTATTGAAGGAGCGGAAGAGACGGGACAGTCCTTTGGAAATACGATTTCCTCTTCGACTTTGCCATCGGCCCTTGTTCGTGAGAAACCTCCGACAGGCCATGGCTGTGCAGCTGCTTCGCAGCAGCTCCGACTTGGGACCCTTCGCGACACGGCAGGCGAAACGAGGGAGATGCCAAATATCTCCAGAAGTGAAGTGACGCGGTGTTGTGATGCTCAAGTTCTCCCACCCTCCCGCCCTGAGGGTGAAGAGACGGGACATGTCCTTTGGAAATACGATTTCCTCTTCGACTTTGCCATCGGCCCTTGTTCGTGAGAAACCTCCGACAGGCCATGGCTGTGCAGCTGCTTCGCAGCAGCTCCGACTTGGGACCCTTCGCGACACGGCAGGCGAAACGAGGGAGATAGCTTTAGCTTTTTAGTTATGGGTATATGGTTAAAAGGTATAAGGCTTCGAATCGACAAGGGCTCATGTTAGGGTAGACGGTTTATGTTCTGCTTTAGGCTTAGAGGGTGGATTTAGGCCGGGTGGCTTGGGTGTCGGGTTTAAAGTACAGGACAACGTAAATAGTTAGAAGGAGCACGCGCTGCGTCATACGGTTTTCGGCTTGGGTACTGCTTGCGCATGACCCCTTTCCGCAGCACCTCCCCACCATCCGGGGGCAGCTCCAACGGCCTCGACCCCTCCGCCAGCCCCCCCCCCCACCGGCCGGGAACGCCAGACGCCTGACCACATAATGTCATAGTCCGCTCTTCCGGGAACGAAGGAGGATGAAGACAGCAAAAGCAGGCGGGCCAGTCCCGCGCCAAGCAGGACAGACGCCAGACATCTTCGGACTCCAGATTCTTATTTTACGACTCCCAATCGCTCAAGCCCAGGTCCGAAGCTTGCCGCCTATCCGAGCCGCGCGGCACTGATCAGACCTTGCTTAGGAGCGTGCCAGTACTTCGAGTACATAGTCTGGAGAGGGTCCTCGGGGTCCCCGAGGCTGCTGAGGACACTTGTAGTTACATGCAAGAGAAGCGAAAGCCGCTCGAAAAAGAAGTTGAGTCAGAGATGCGAAGCAGGCCAAGGCAGGAAAGAAGGAACAAGCAAACGAAGGGTTTTTCGGCGAAGAACATCGATTCTTTCCTTGAGCTTGAGCTCTCCATGCGACATTACCACCTCCATCCTCCTCCTGTCGTCCCTTGCATTGGCCGGAGCGGGAGGGCCCTGGCAGCTGCTTCCCTTGCTTTCACCTCCTCCTTGTCAGACTCCCATTCGTTTGCACACTCCGCTACCTCACTCTGACTGCCAAGTCGTTTTTTCAGGCAGGCCCTCCTCTTGTCCGATTCTCCAGCTTGCATCACTGTCGATCCGGCGATATCAGGCTTCTCCGAGTTTTTCCTGTGACCCGGACGCAATGATGGAGACTGGCTTACCTACGTTGGCCCAGCTGTCTTGGAATGCAGCTGCAGCCTAGGAGTCACATGTGCTGCTCTCGCGGCACCAGCCATGCAGCTTTGATTCCTGCTGCTCAGCACAAACAGGTTCTAACTTGGTCGTACACCAACTGTATTTCTGGTTATATCAAGGTTTATGTCTATGTCTGTGTCCACGCCCATGTCCATGTGCTGGTCATGTCCGTGTCTATGTCCATGCTTATATGTCTGTAACATCTATGTCTAGATCTACGTCTATATCTGTGTTTATGCAGATATCTATGCTGTGTCTGTAGCTCCATCTACATCTACATCTAGATCTGTATTTCTGTGTGTGTGTGTGTGTGTCCGTACATTCGGCTGTACCTATGCCTCTCTATAGTTCTATACTGATATCTGTTTGTGTGTCCTGATCTGTACCTGTATCAAAATCAACATCTGGATCTGTATTTGTATCTGCAATGTCTACACTTGCATCTACACCTGCATCTACACCTGCTTCCGCATCAATGTCTTGTCTATGCCCATATCTGTATCTTTTCATATCATGTTGTGGACAGCTTGCTGGCCGTTCATGTCATGTAGCTTCTCAATGCCAGGATTTGAGCTCAAAGAAAGGATTTGAAAGCCGCCACCGCCCCACCACCAGCGTTTCACGGGGAGCCGAATATCAGGACTTCATTCAAGGACTTGTGTCGTGTTATGTTGCCCTGTCGGGTACGCCCGTCAGGGTGAGGCGCTTCAGACCGTCTTAAGTGCTGTATCGCTTCTTCTGACCGTCTTAAGTGCTGTATCGCATAAATCTACCGGGTTTGCCCGATAGATGTTGGAACGGCTCCCCCTTCTGAATGGTTGCTGGAGGACTTGCGCAGGAGGGAAAGCTGAGTGTGCACATATTGAGGAGTGACGATCTATATTTTTATTTGTATCTTTGTCTGCATCTATGCCTACATCTTTATCTTTGTCTATGTCTATGTCTATACCTGTACCTACATCGGCAGGAATAAAATTTCGTCACAGTTGCCCATACCATCATGCGGAGGACGCGGAGTGCCAGCAAGTGCATTTTGCATGGCCTGGCTAGCGGAGGAAGTCATTTAAAATTATACTACTATAATGTTCCGGGCGGAGGACTGGGTGGAGGAGTTTAAGGGGGAGGGGGTTTGCTAGGTGTTGAAGAGTAACATGCAGGAGCGCAGCATGAACTTTGGAAGCGGTAGGCCAGCAAAATGCAGTTTGTGAGACGATGTGTACCTTGATTTGTCAACAAGTCACGCTGCGGCTTGGCTTTTGGCCAAGCCCCCGAACCATCTCACTCTGGAGTTGTTTGGGCTGGACTCTGGCACCCAAAGTTGACGCTGCGATAGGACGGAAGTTTGACTTACTCCTTCTTTCGTCGAGCGCAGGGCCCCATTCCCCCATAGAATCTTAGCAAACAGGACCAACCGGCTACTCCTCCGGAACATTAAAGTAGTTTAATTTCAAGACGGGGCATAAAATACTCCGCTAGCCAGGCCAGGCCACGCTCCGCAAAACGTCTTAACACAAGAAAGGTCCAGCAGGTCACAACATTTGTCCTCCCGATGCCTCACCGTGACCTTCTTGATCAGCAAATTTGCCTAATGTGTTGCTGTGTGACGGCAACGGTCGAATATAGGTATTCTTATTACTAGTATTAGTATTAGTATGAATATTAGTATTGCTATTAATATTAGTATTCATCGTAGTTTTAGTGTTAATATTAATATTTTTTATTAGTATTAGTATTAGCTGCGTTTAACATAACAGTATTTTAAATGGCCATTATTATTATTAGTATTAGTCGTGGTAGGATTCTAAATGTTAGCCGCTGTCAAAAGTAGCTTCTATTAAAATAATTATTGGTATTAGTATCAGTAGTGTTACTACTATTATCATTAATATTCATATTAGTATTAATCACCCGAGCAAAACAAACATGTGCTTGTATGAGCAATCGCTAGTACAGGCAGACTGTACAGACAGGGTTCTGATATATGCACATATATATCTGCAAACACTGGAAAATCCAAAATCAAAAAATCCAAAGATTTGGACATAATCTTTGGATTTGCTGTTTTTTGGAGTTGTTGGATTCCATGTATTTTTTTTTTTTTTGGAAATCTTGGGTAGAATCCAAAAAATCACTGGGAAAGTTTTGGATTTTCGCCTGTGCCACTAGTCAAAATCATCATGTTCTCTAGGGTTTTTTTTGATTTTGTAGCGAAATCCAAAAATTCCCATATATATATGTGTATGTATATGTGCTTGTGAGGTGCATTGTCAAGGCATGTCGTCGTTTCACCGGTGGTATCAGCCACGGATGTTATTTGCTCCTGATCAGACTATACATATATTTAGAAAATTGACACACGCACACACACACACACACATATATATATATATATATACACATATGCAGCAACGCTTGTTCTATACCTATATCTGTATCCAACTTAGTTAACACCGCAGCACAATAATTTTAACGCTACGCCGCCCGCCTCGGCTCTGTAGTGGCAGGGCGAGGGTCCCGGCTTATTGTATAGCCTCTGGGCAGAGTCGAGCAAGAATAGAAGGCACCTGTGAAATGCTTGAGTCAGAGCTTGGTGCGAAAGTTGCGGGTTAAGGCCTTCCAGCCATGCCGCCCGGAGCAAGAAAAAACAACACAGACAGAGCCTGAAAAGAAAGACAGGCAATGGAGGGGGGGAGAAGAAGTGGGAGCACGAAAAAAGGGGGGGAGGGGGCGGGAAAGGGGGGGGGGGGGGGGGGGGGGGGAGGGGGGGGGAGGGGGGGGGGAGGGGGGGGGGGGGGGGGAGGGGGGGGGGGGGGGGGAGGGGGGGGGGGGGAGGGGGGGGGGGGGGGGGAAGGGAAAAACGGCGGGGTAGAGGAAAAAAAGAGGGGGGAGGAGGCCTGGGAGGGGCCGGGTAGGCCCGCAAATCAAAGAAAATGAGGGGAGGCCGGGCAAGGGGGTGGCAAACGAGCGCAAAAACAGGGTGTCCCCAAACATTCGGACTGCAGGGAGGAGGATTAGGTGGAGGGTACCTGAGATAACCACCAAAACGCCTGGGCCTGTGGCCTCGGCGGATTGTTGCGACTGAAGCGGAATCCTCCAACCGAAGCGGAATCGTCAACATGCGACAATGCAAGGGAGGTGGGCATTCGACGACAACAAGCATAAAGGTCTGACTCTGCCTGGTTATTGTTTCCTGAATTTGCTGCTCATGTTTCTGAATCGCCGCTGTCCGCTTTACAAATGTCCTTGTTTGCTTGCAGAAGCATACTTCGATTCGATTTCACTCGGGGGGGTCACCAAACCACTCACTGGCTTTGGAATTCACTCCCGAACTCATGTGCCGAGCACATCTGCGATTTATGCTGAAGTGCAAGCTCATTGATTGAAGTGGTACAGCTTGAGGAGTCTTGCTGTCCCGGTCATCGTTCCTGCCTTCACCCATTCGACGCACGCCAATTCAACGTTTGAAACGGCCAGTAACCTCAACGCTGAGCCTAGACCCCTAAACCCTAGCCCTAAACCATACCCCCAGAATTCAACGATATCGTGATAATGCAGACAGTTCAGAGAAAAACATCGAATGATGACTTGATCAGCATTGATCAGCCAAACAAACACATCATGCGTGTCTGAGGAAGGAGTTTGGCAAATCTGCTTTGCAATGCTGCGCGACTGTTTTCCACCGAGGCCGAAGACGAAAGCCGACAAGCCCAGGGCATTCGGCTGGACAGCCGGGAGGGTTTGTCCCCTCGTGCTTCGCATGAGTTTCTCTAGACTGCAGGATGGCGGTGAAGGGCCGATTCGAGCTGGTTGACGGCTTGGTGCCGCCACTTGGCCCAGCCACGGCCATGAGATGTGCAGAGCGCCTCCACAAGAGAGCAATGGCCCATGGCGGCCCTTATGACGGTTCTCGGAAACCTTGCTGATCAATGGGCGTCGCCCACTGTACAGTTTCCCTGGCTGCGAAGCAGCGACCAACATTCAATGTTGAACTTGCGTCCTTGGCTCTCCACGCATCTTCAAAAGATGCAATTTTTTTCAGAGCCACATTCCGGTTTTGCGACCTCCGGCGGCCACCATTCGCCAGGAGAATCCTCAATGTCGAGTGTCTTCTTTTTTGGAAATCAGAGAATCGGAAGAAGTTTGCGGGTTGTTTCTGCATTGCTATCTCCTTCTCAATGAAGAAACATTTAGTGGCAGGCCGCAACTGTGTCTGACTCCTTGGTCACGATGTGTCCAGAAGATATTGAGGCTAGTTGCAAAGCAAACCGCAACTTTGCTCTTGCCAGATGCCGCTTGCCTGGCAGGCTTGGGCTATGCGAGCAGAGGCACGGCTGCACAGGAGACATTGTGGATGCTTATACTTCTGCACTGTTGCGGAGCAGGCTTATTCCAGGCTCGAGAAGATCGCTAAGCCAAAGGCCAAACAGTCTGGCTCCGTGTCGCACCAAATCATGCTGCTTTTCAGAGCTTTTCTTCAGCAATTCTCGCCAGACTCTTTCCTTTTGGTCAAATGGGGTGGTTTGTTGTTCTACCCGGTTCCTCCGCACGAGCATGCACGAGCATTTTATCTTTGAACCGTGAAACTCGTCTGGTGCCCTGGTGGGATGGTGCCTCCCCGAGAATGGTCCAAACTCAGTGTGTGTTTATTTGGGAGATTCGCCATGCATAAACTTGCTGGACTAATGCAGACATTTCTTGGCAGGTAACGATTGACTCGTATGAACGAATGGCGGAACTGATGCAGGCATCAATGCGCATATAACAGCTTCCTAGTCATGCTGTGGATGTGCTTATCTTCAGGCAAGCCCCGAATCCCGTGCGAAAGTGACTCCGCAAATGTGGAATAACCTTGGCTGGGCGCTCGTGCTTTCCAGAGCAGGAGTGTCATCGTTTAGTCAAAAGCTTCTGTGGTAGGAACCTTTTATTTTCATGGCTCATGGCGGGAACAGTCCGCAGAGAGGTCGAGTGTTTCTGCGGTTGAGACCACTCCTCAGCAGCCTTGGACTCGAAGCAATGAGGCACGATCAGAGCTATGCATGGGGATCCAGCCCAAGCCAAAGAGGCGGACCTCTTTTGCGACATTTGTCCAGACGCTGTGAGAGTCGTACGTAAAGGCGTATGATAGCGGCATGGAGCGCATCGAGTCCCTGCAGCTGGACCCAGATGGAGAGCGGTGAGGATATTGTCCAGCCCGATGCCACCACTTCGATGGTATGCACCAGATGCACGTGCTGTCCACGCATGTCATCACATGTCAAGGCAACAGCTTGGAGAGGCTCAGGCTGGCCATTCCGAGAAGGCGGCAGCATACATGTGGAATGGGCGGCAGAAGACCGTCATAGTCTTGAGTGTGTCTGTGCGTCATGCTTTGCCAGAGCAAGGACCTGCGTGTGGCCGAGATCACCATGCGTTTCAACAAGGCCTGGCTGGCAGAAAGCCAGCCGCAGGAAGGCAACATGAACCAGGCAAGGAGGATTGCTTGCATTGTTCACAACTCAGAGCAAACTGAAGTCCTTTTCAGTTGTACTCATGAGTCGGACCGGCACCGCCCCCGGTTGCCGCAACCCCACCAGCACCGCCGCCATCACAGCCGCGTGCGCCCGCAAGAGGACTGTGCCGCTTTCAAACTGACTCTCGTGTACGGCATTCGTCAACGCATACCTCACGATGCCCGGACAACAGCCAATGGGTTTGTTGTGTTATTGCATATTCAGTTGCAAAAGGCCGGGTCGACATTTGTTGTCCGTCGCTAAGTATAGTGAGTTCACGCACTCGTGGCGAGGCAGAAGCAGCCATGAGTTTTGAGCCGGGTGCTCTGAAAGATGTCTGCATCTGCTTTGTTGACAGGCACCAGCGCCGAGATCTCAAACATCTCGGGCAACTGTCGACAGACGCACGCAAACGAACCAATGATAAGGTGGCGACACTCTGTTTGTTTGAGCATTTCGCAGACTCATTGCGCAAGGCTGAGGGCAACTTTTTTGATCGAAACTTGCAGAAAGTTCTGCAGATCCGTATCCCGAGGCATCATGAATGTCAATTTGAGATCGCTTGCTCAAAGAAGATCAGACAGAGCCAGAGCATAGTGTTGTCAAATTATCTTGCTGAGCTAGTCCAGTGCCAGATCCAACTGCTGACTCGTTGGTGTATCTCGAACCTGCAGGAAAGTGTCAGGTGAATTCTGGCCTTCTGGCCCATGTCGCGATTGTCGTCGCGTCTCCCTTGGCTTCGAGATTCGGCCGCCGAGTTGACCGCATGCCAGCCGCCAGCCTTTGATTCTTTCATAAAGTTTGGAAACGTCTTGGACCGGCATATTGACCGCTGCACATGTGCCAGTTTCCGACATTGTCCATTCGGACCAAAGCCTAAAGCAGCAGAGTCCGTGTTCGCCAGACAATGGCGTCCTTGCCCCAGCTTTGCCGCATGCAGGCTTTCGACCGGAAGAAGTCATCACACCCAACGTATACACGCTTACCCGACTCGACAGTGATTTTCGAGTTTGAAGGCCCTGGCTGTGGTCAGCTCCACTACATCCTGCAGCTACAAGAGCCGTAGAAGAACAAACGGAGGATGCGTGGAGGCATCGCCCACCATGTCACACGAAGCCGCTCGCACAGGCTCGAAATCTCACCAGTGGTTGCAGGAGCAGCATTTCTGGCGATTGGAGGTTGGCTCAACAGTAAGCACTAACTGCACGATTCTGTCTGGATGGAGCATTGCATGCAGCACGTTCGGGCGAAGGCATGTTTGCGCCTTGTCGCGATACGAAACGCATAACTGCAGCGACATGAGCTTTGGGTCAGCATGTTGCCGTTGCGCGTGACCAGCCAATGTCATCCGATGCTCGAGTTGTAGGCATCTTGATGCCAGCAGTGCTGCACCCCATTCTCGGCTTTGTAGAACATTGGGACTCTCATGACGGATGTTGGTATATGTAAATGTTTCAGTCGGATGGTGTTGACCGCAAGGAGCATATCAAGTCGTTCCGGCCACTACTAGGTCACTAGGTGTCTTTTCCGACCCTGCATCATCGCTGGGTCGGAAGGTGTCGCAAGGAGAGGTGAATTCAACTTGGAGGGAAGCCTCGGTGCAAACGCTTACGCTTGCTTGCAGATTGCCTGCAGGCGGTTCAAGGGTATTTGGCGCTGACAGAGGGTGTGAAGTGGTTTGCCGATGCTTTCCTTCAGCTTGGAGGGCAATGGTCTGCGCCTCAGACTCAGGAAGTTGCCAGACACATTCTCGTGCATTGCAAGCTTAGGCAGCGCGTCGGCAACAAGGAAGAGGCTTTGAGAAATTTCAGGGAGGCGATAAAGTACAGCCCCTTTCTGGGCAAGCTTCTCTGTTCCGAGGCCAGGAGAGTTCTTGGCCCTTGGCTGCATGACTTAACAAGTCTGCTGGCAGGCACTCCGTGCATCAGGCAAATACGAAGAAGCGCTCAAGTGGGGTGAAAAGGCGGTCGCAGACCTAGCACTGGCACAAACCAGCACCGCGGACTCCATCTGGGTCGTTTGCCATCATGGCCTAGGCAAGATCTGCGCAAGCCAATGAGTTTCACTATGCCCACGTCTTTGTCGGCAATCTCTGCTACGAGGCGAGTTCGACTCAAGTGCTGCGTGGCCCACTGCCGATCTGGCAGGCTTCAACTAATCACAAGACACCACCGCCAGAGCGCGATGCCTACTTGAAGAAGGCTGCCTCGTAATTTAATGGCACCAGCCACACTGCAGCCTGCGACTTCTCAAACACTGTATGGAGGCAATGGACTATTACTTGAAAGCACTGGAGCTCAAGAAGGTCTGTGGATACCACTGTACAGCCTAGCGGCCTAGCCAACGAAGCCCTCTAGGACTGCCAGTTTGCAGCGAACGGCCTTGGCATGGTTTTCGCAAAGCGTGGAAAGATGGTTCGCAGCTCAGATCCATCTTGTACTTGACAGAACTTCAGCCTCGTGTTTGCAGCGGTTTCTGGTATGAGTTGGCGGTTGCAGAAAGAACAATCCCTTCGGTGTACACTGTCTTGCACAGTTCGCTTGTACCGTGAGTTGGATCTCAGCTTTCGATTATGTCTTTGTGAGTCGGGTTTGCCAGTTGCGTCCTCCAGACAGAGAGATGCCCGCACATGTGGTCTGCCAGCAGACTAGCCCGGAGAGATGCTATCGTGAGCACGCACACAGCTCATGGTCCAGCTTGACCTGACACATTTGGAAGCTCGCCCAATCCTTTGTTAGTTCTGAAACATGCTTGTCGGGACATCTGACAAGTGTGACGAAACTGGAAGAATGACATGATGTTGGGGCAGTCACCTTTTTCAGGTTGCTGCTCGCTTTCATGCCCTGCCACGTTGTTTCTTGCGAAGCCGAAAGTCAGCGTATGCTGCGTTACGCTTGTGAAAATCTGGTTCTGCTGACACTGGGTTGGTGTGCAGAAGCCTAACAATGCGTTATACATGCATGCGGGCATGCGTTTTTGATGGATCTGTTTGGGAATCCGTTTTGGCCCCAGCCCCGGCAGGACGGGATAGGGGTTAAAAAATTAAATAAGGATCAAAAAAAATAAATAAGGATCAAAAAAGCTTAAACAGGTATCCACGAAAGGAGGGGGGGGGTAACGGAGGAAAGAAAGACAGAGAGAGAGAAAGAACGAAAGAAATACAGAGAGAGAGAGAGAGAGAAAGAAAGCAATAAATGAAGAAAGAAAGAAAGACAGAGAGAGAGAGAGAGAGAGAAAGAAAAAAATGAAGAAAGAAATAAAGAAAGAAAGAAAGGAAGACAGAGAGAGAAAGAGAGAAAGAAAGAAAGACAGAGAGAGAGAGAGAAAGAAAGAAAGACATAACGAAAGAAAGACAGAAATAAAGAAAGAACGAAAGAAAGCAAGAAAGCAAGAAAGAAAGACATACATACACAAGCTATAACGAAAGAAAGAAAACAAAAATAAAGAAGTATATAGATAAAGAAAACTGTAAGGAAATAAAACAGAAAACACAATGAAATGACGAAAGAGAGTTAGACACACAGAAAAGAACAAACAATAAAGAAATAACGAAAGAACAAAAATTGAGAAATGAAGAAAGACGAAAGGACATAAATTGACTAAGATGTTGCTTTGTTCTATGTTATCTTCTGTTACATTGTATTGTCGTCTTTGTTATGTTATTATATGCTATAAGAAGCAAGGTTCTGTTATGTCAGAAAATGTCACACTTTTGTTGTGATGTCGAACCATCTTATGTCGTTCTTATGGTTTACCATGTTGTATTATGTTAGAGTGCTAACGGAAGAAGAGACACGAACAGGCACGGAAGAACGAAAGACCCACCGCCGCGCTTTTCGAGCCGTGCAAGCTTGATTCAAAGAGTGTTTTCGAAGCCCATCATGCGAGCGTTGTGTCTGCAAATGGGGGGGGGCCTGCGCCCCCCCCAACCCCCCCGCTGAACCAGAATCGCCAAATGAGGGGGTGTGTTTAAGATAGGTGATGAAGCGGAGTACCAGCAACAGCTACAACAGGAAATCCGTCCTAAATGCGAAATTGTAACGAAAATCTGATTTTCCCGAGGAACAACCAAAGATAACTTATGTTTTCCTTCTGAAAACCTGAAGAAATGAGACTATTTTATAGTGTTTTTCCAGGAAAAACCAAGCAACACTTAAGGAACTACCGCGGAATCCGTAGGAAAATCGTGTCTTGCCGAGGAAAAACCAAGCAAATGCTCAGGAAATGAAAGAGAATCCGTAGGAAAACAGTGTTTTCCCTTGGAAAAATTCAAGAATTGCTGTATCTAAAAAGAAAAAAGAAAGGAAGACAGAACGAAAGAAAGAAAGAACGAGAGAGAGAACGAAAGAACGAAAGCAACAACGAAAGAAAGAACTAAAGCAAGAACGAAAGAAAGAACGAACGAAAGAAAGAACGAAATAAATGAAAAAAAGAAAGAAAGCAAGAAATAAAGGAAGGAAGGGAGTGTGAAATGAATAAAGAAAGAACAGAAAGAAATAAAAGAAATGAACGAGCGAAAGAAAGAAATCCAGAATAAACAAGCAAAGTTGGAAAAGACGAAAGAGAAATAACATGAAAGAACCACAGAAACAAAGATACAAGCAATAGGATACTACATAGTCCAATCGAATATGCCATAATATCGTAATGTACCACAACGTAATATAACATAATGTAACCTGATGTTATATAATATACTAAGTAATATGTTGTATATATAAAAACTATATTGTACTATGTTACAATGTACTACACAATAAACTAAGATGTTGTTTTGTTTTATGTTATCTTCTGCTATATTGTATTGTCGTCTTTTTATTATGTTGTTATATGCTATAAGAAGCAAAGTTCTGTTATGTCAGAAAATGTCAGACTATGTTTGTGATGTCGAACCATCTTATGTCGTTCTTATGGTTTACTATGCTATATTATGCTAGAGTGCTAACGGAAGAAGAGACACGAACAGGCACGGAAGAACGAAAGACCCACCGCCACACTTTTCGAGCCCTGCAAGCTTGATTCAAAGAGTGTTTTCGAAACCCATCATGTGAGCGTTGTGTCTGCAAATGGGGGGGGGCTGCGCCCCCCCAACCCCCCCCGCTGAACCAGAATCGCCAAATGAGGGGGTGTGCTTAAGATAGGTGGTGAAGCGGAATACCAGCAACAGCTACAACACGAAATCCGTCTTAAATGCGAAACTGCAACGAAAATCTGATTTTCCCGAGGAACAACCAAAGATAACGTATGTTTTCCTTCTGAAAACCTGAAGAAATGACACGAACGCCATAGGTAGTAGAAAATAGTGTTTTTCCCAGGAAAAACGGAAAACTTGAGAAATACAACGGAATCCGTAGGAAAATCGTGTTTTCCCAAGGAAAAACCAATCAGGTCCTAAGGAAATGAAAGAAGATCCATAGGAAAATATTGTTTTCCCTGGGAAAATTTAGGAATTGCTGTATTTTGAGTGATTTAATTTCTTTTGATCCTTATTTTATTTTTTTTGATGCCTCTGCACCAGGAATTGCTGTAGTTTACGTGATTTAATTTTTTGGATCCTTAATCTAATGTTTTTTGATCCTGGTGCTTTAATTTTTTGTGATCCTTGTTTAATTTTTTTTGATCCCTCACCCTGGCAGGACCCCCAAGCGGCTTTGCAAACGGATCTCCAAACGGATCCGAGACGGATCGAACACGGATCGAAAACGGATCCAAAACGGATCAAAAACGCATCCCTCTCGAATGGAACGTTTGGGGGTCCGTTGGGGGATCCGTTTTGGATCCGGGCCGGCTGGGTTGGATCCCAAACGCATCCCAAAACGGATCCAAAACGGATCGAGCACGGATCGAAAACGGATCCAACACGGATCGAAAACGGATCGAAAACGGATCCAAAACGGATCCAAAACGGATCCCCAAACGGATCCCCAAACGGATCCCCAAACGGATCTGAAACGCATAGTTAGGAAAATAGCATTTCCAGAGATAGCAGGCAGCAGATTTTCACAACGTTAGGCGTTACGTGGCTCAAGTTTTAATTGCTAAAGCTCCTTCAGGCAACATGTAAGCAAGAACTGCACTGACTGCAGCAACCGCTTGATCACCGAGTGAGTTTCATCAAATGCAGAGCCCGAAAGGACACGAAGGTTTGGTTCTTGCAGCGAATCTAGCATGAAGCGGAAATCAGAGTCAGTCCGATCAATCGCGAGATAGCAGCAGCAGCAGCAGCAGAAGCAGCGGCGGCAGCGGCAACAGCCGCAAAAGCAGCAACAACAACAGCAGCGGCAAATCGGGGCAGGTTCTCTTCCTCTTCCTTCTGTGTCGCGTGGTAGTGTCGTTTCATTGTTGAAATGAGCAGATACGCCAGAGTCAAAAATCCTTGGTTTTGACGGTGCAAGGAGATTGCCAAGGAGTTCTTCAATTCTGTGATGAACCACCAGGCGCGACAAGCTCTCGCTTGCCAGGGCTAGCAGGGTGCAAGTTCTGTCAAGCTCCACGCTCCGTCTCAACGGGCACTGATCCGCAGACCTATAGACAGACGGTCGTACCGTTTTGCAATGGTATCGTCAGGCCTGCTAGTAGCCTCCTGGTTGTTCGCCGTCATAGCACGGGATGGATCAGCGAAGCTCGAGAGACAGAGAGAGAGTAGAGACGCAGCGAGCAGACGACCGCCTTCCTTGAAGCTGCAGGCCCACTACTGCTATTTCTGCTACAAGTGCTACTAGTGCAACTGCTGCTACTGCTGCTATTGCTGCTACTGCTGTTACTGCTACTACTGCTACTACTGCTACTACTGCTACTACTGCTACTACTGCTACTACTGCTAATGCTACTACTGCTACTACTGCTAATGCCGATTCCTATTCTCACTCCTACTCTTACCCCCATTCCTACTCCGACTCCTACTACTGCTACTATTACCACTACTACTACAAGTACGATTATTATTTATCGTTATTACAATTACTATTACCTTTCTCTTGTACAGTTACCATCACTATTACTATTACTTTTACGAGTACGATTACTATTGCTATTGCTACTTCAACTACTACTTGCTAACTACTGATACTATTGCCATTACTATCACTATCATTCGTGCGATTACTAGCATTGTTTGTGATGTTGATGTTTTCTATCATATCAGTATTGTTAACATTAGGATTGCTTGTATTATTGCTATGGCTAGTAGTATTGCGGGCACTAATACGATGACTGTTGCTATTGCTATTCTTATTCTGTTCTTGTTATCGTTACTATGTGCATCATTACGACTATTTCGATTATTGGTACTGTTGCTACTACACTTGCAAATATTGTGACTAATACTATTACCATCATTTTGCCATCGCCATCATTTTTGCATACCTAAGTTTTACTAGTATTACAAAAACAGCAGTATCACCATATTAGCATATTTTACCATTACAGTATCAGTGTCAGGATGTCCCCAAATAGTGAGATAACAGTAGGGGTCTCTTCCGTTAAGAGCAAAAAGATAGTGTGCCCGGCCCGCCTCGAAAGGAGCTCCCCGCGTCCTATCGTTTTTCCACAGATGCAAATCAGGTCCCAGCGTCCAACTACTTTGCACAGGGTGTTTCGCTCATGACTCATGTCTTATTGTTTACCGGGCATTCATGTGGTGGGCGTGTCCCGGTGGGGCCAAACCCAGAAATAATACTGTATTGACCACTTTCTTCGCAAACCTTACATGGCAATTGGTACTGGGGAAAAACAATCGTGCCGTGCTCCCGCAATCCGGCCAGTACTTGGGGGCATACGGGGCGTGGTGCTCGAGGCGCCAGTGCTTGAGAGAGGAAAAGACATATAGAAAAAAGAAAAAACTTCCAACTTAGCTTGGCGACCGGGATACCACAACCACTCCTCCTCCTCCTCCTCCTCCTCCTCCTCCTCCGCCTCCGCCTCCTACTGATTACTAGTATCCACAGCTCACCTGCGTGCGTGGATCATAGACCAAGCTGAATAGCTTTTGCAGATCCAAAACGATGCTGCAATATAGTGGGTGGATGCGTTCGTGCCTAGACTACTGGCACGGCGTACCCTCACCAAGCTCTTTGTCGAAGCTTGTCTGCTACTTCCGCCACAAGCACTGGAGCGGTTTTTCATCTTCTCTGCCAGAAACTATCCTCGTGGCATGCAGACGATTGAAGATTCGGGATTCTCCACTAGGCCATCAGCACATGAACAAGGTGCCTGCAGAAATTCAGATCCTACATTACATGACGAAGCAGGCGCACGTTCGCCCTGGTCCCAGCAGGTTCACGAATCGCTCTAAAGATTAGGTTGGCGCGAGGTAGTGGGTGCAGCCTCAGGCGCCATTGAAGCTTTGAAAGAGGTGAACAATGAGGCTTTGATAGCGGATATTCGTGTACGCAAAAGGCCGTATAGAAGAGCGTTGAGGTGCGCAGAGAAGCAGGGGTCACCAGCTACAGAGGATAGCAGCTCAGCTCAGGACTGGTGTACCAAGTGATTCTGCCAACGGCCAAACCAATGAAGCAGCCTCGAGACAGACCCCGTCTCAACAGCACGACTTGGAATTGCAGTGGACCTTCGAGTGAGCTTTTGCTCGAGTGGTTTGTTTGGTTGCGGACGCGCCCCGATATACATGTGCATACAATTCAGGAGATGCACTGGTCCAGCACGAGGGACTGGAGTCAGGAAGGCTGGTGCATGGCGCTGCGACGAAGAGCAGGCAGGCTGGACGGGTTTTGGGACTTCGCGCAGATGTTGTACAAGCATCTGAATTCACAGGGGCCGACGAGATCGTTCCTGGATACGTTTTGCAATGGAGAGGCTACATGGGACAGCAACCACTAGACATTGTCAACCTCTATCAGCATGCCGTGTCCTTCAAGACAGAGGAGCATAAGAAAACGGTCATGCATATCGCAATGGCCCACACATGACAGCTACCTGTTGCAGCCTGTTGCACTCTGATAGCGAGCTTTCTGTCAGGGTGGGCACTATCAAAACGGGAGCGGACCCCAGGTACCTGCTGCAGTGCCACGTCGACATGGTCATCAGTCTTCGCCCTCTCACCCCCATGCACGGCAGTGAGATGGATTTGATCTTATACCCTAGACTCCAAATCCCATTCCTATACATAGGCCACTTTGGGTGAGGTAGCCTCTTCAAAGCTGCACGGTTTTGAGCTTGCAGCAACGTGACAAAATACTGAGCGAGCCATTCTTCGCTTTGCGCCCATGCTGCTATGACAATCCTTGCTCCACTTGACAAAATCACTTATGCGACCACTTAGGCACCTGGACCCAACATCGCCTGCCCTTCCGTGAACTCTACAGCCGCAGCCTGCATGCCATGAATGCAATCCTTCTCGACGGTTCATTCACTCTTCTCAGAAGCCTCAGATCGTGACCCACTCCGAAGCCATGCGCTCGTCGGCAACTGGCCCTGTCGCGCCGGCCCAGGCCCAGGAGCTATCAGATGAGCATGTACTCAAGGCTTCCATGCCCCCCACAACCACCACCTGGCCGGGCAATGTGATTCCTGCTGAAAGTGCCGTTGCGCAGCAACGTGCTGGACCAAATCAATCCTTGGTGATTCTGACCACATACCCGGCATGCACCCATCGCTGCGATTGTGGACAGCCGTGATGCAAACACAAGGAGCAGCACATCTGGCACACGTGCTCTACATGCAGGAACTAATGGGCCGTTGAGAGGTATTGGTGAGCTGATGCTTTCTGGCGAGGGAGCCTCCTGGAAAGCTCGCCCGAGCTCGATGTTCTTTCTGTTTGGCCTCTTGGTTCTTCCTATCAATATAGATTCGTTCTTAGTGAGGTAGCCTCCTGAGACCGCTCCCTGGACACAGCCTTTTGCAGGAAAAATCACTCGAACCTAAAAAACAGCATAAAGCTGCAGGGGTTTGGTAGGTTAGGATATAGGCAGTGTTTGTGTACCTCACTGACACTCAGGAAAGGTCAAAGTTAGAAGTCACGAAATGCCAAATTTGGCAGAACCATCAAATTCTTCAAGTTACTCTGTCCGCAGCTGCTTTGTATTCATCTTCGTGAGGTAGCCTCCGACTCAGTGCCCATCTCCTGCCATGAAGAAGCCTGCAGCCTCCCCAGTGACATTCGACCTGGCCTTGTCTATCCTTCGGCTAAGCAAACATCTTCCTGCCGACGTCAAAGACCCGCCGCCAGCAAAACTCGCGTTCTGCACCGAGCCGTGAAGCGAGCAGTGACAGTCGTCCTCTGACACCCGATCAATGACATGCTGACTCCGACGAAGCTGCGGCACGACCTCCTCCTCTTCGTGCCCCAGCTACGGCCCGCAACCCCGCAGCAAAGCCAAATGGTCCGCCACCACCACAACCAGTTAATCTTCCTGGCCCTAAAGCACCTCCTCCTGCGCTGCCTGCAGCTCACACTTTTGCTGCAAATACCACGCACCTACGCCTGGGGGGGTGGGGGGTTTAAAATTACGTTAGCCATTCCTCCGCACTGGTCACGGGCCTAGAATGGTGAGGTAGCCTCTTGTTTTTTGAGGACTGGCTTCTTTCGGATAATTGTCCCAATACATTCAGGCAGTGAGTGTCAGAACGGACGAACTAACCAAGCAGCCCGAGTCATCGGTATGCCCAATCACACATGAATATGCCTAGAGACTACATTCCCTTCGCTGCGCTTCGGGCCTCAAGCCCGGACGTCAGAATGCAACCTAGCCTTGACTACCATGCTGGGAGGAGTTTCACATCGTGTCATGCACCTTAAACTTAGATCATACCTCATGCTTGTCCATTGTGATTGCATCGGCGAAGCACACCCTCTCCGAAGCTACATACATTGCTGACTCCTCGGAGCGGCTGTATGTGCATGTGCTGATCCCACGGGACGGCATTTGTTGGCTGTCTGCGTTGGATGTACCCGTCTTGACGATCCCAAGTACGTATGCATCAGCTTGCCACATACGTTTCACCTCCGGTGCTCGCCAAGGTGCGGGACTACCCGCTCGAGCGTCTGAATGAATGACATGCTATTGCTCCTGCTCCTGCTCCTGCTCCTGCTCCTGCTCCTGCTCCTGCTCCTGCTGCTACTACTCCTGCTACAACAACAACTACTACTAGTAGTAGGTGGCCCCCCCTACCCACTACCACTTTTGCATGCGTTGCCTTGAGGGGGGGTGGGGGGGGGCTGATAACGTACAGGCAGCCTCGAACAGTTATGACCACCCATTTTCGAGTTTTCGTTGAAAGCCCTCGCAAAGGCATCAGACAACGTAGCAAAGTCCAGAGGTAGGCTTGGCGACTAGAAAGAGGGCTGACGTCACGAAAGCAATGTAAATACCGAGTAAAATGGCTCTTCCGGAGATGTTGTTCGGGGTGTCGGCGTAACAATGTCGTCATCATTCTTCCCGCACCCCCCCCACCCCCTGCCAAAAGCAAGTCCAGAATCGGATGCTGGAGTTTGAAAACTCGTTGTTAGTAATGGAGTGTGACATGAGCAAAGTACTTTAACGACCGAGTAAAAAAGCTTTCCCCCACCCAATTTCGAGTTTTTCGCTGAAAAGCCATCGCAAAGGCAAAAGACAACATAGCAAAGTCCAGAGGTAGGCTTGGCGACTATATAAGATAGCAGACGTCGCGAAAGTACGGTAAATGCCAAGTAAAATGGCTCTTCCGGAGATGTTGTCCGGGGTGTCGGCGTAACGACGTCGTCATCATTCCTCCCGCACCCTCCCACCCACCCCAAAAAGAAAAGTTCCGAAAACGATCCCGGAGTTTCAAAACTCGGAGGTGGTTTTTGAGGCTTCATAAGATGTTGCGACATGCCGAACGTGCTGTAAATAACGAGTAAAACGGATGTGTGTTACAAGCGTATGTAACACGAGGTAGTGGGTAGGGGGGGTGGCTACTAGTACTACCACTACTACTACCACTACTACTACTACTACTACTACTACTACTACCACTACTACTACTACTACTACTACTACTACTACTACTACTACTACACTACTACTACTCCTCCTACTAATGCTGCTGCTTCTCCTCCTCCTCCTGCTGGTGCTGGTCCTGGTCCTACCCCTCAGCTACCGACAGTTGGCCCGTAGCCCAAACCCCTGTAGAGCGATGGGAAAAGCTTTCTGCAGCCTTCCAACACATATCCGACATGTTTGGGCCACTATGTCAAAACTTCTCGCAATTTGTTACACTGTTTTTTCTTTCAAGAGTCAGCATCATTTCGTTTTGCAGCATGCAGCTCGCTAGAATTAGATAGATCATGGTTCTACAGTTTTAGATGGCGGTCTCCTCGTGGACCCAGGGCAAGTCGCTTGGGGGCTCTCCGTTGGGGCACACATTTGTCAACCCCGGGCCTATTCTCAGAGCCTAGATCATGATTTTGCACGTGCAGGGCGATCCGTTTCGCCGTAGTGAACTTCCCTGCTCAACACATGCCACGGTGCCCAGCAGGGCCCGATCCTTTGCCGATTTGTCGTGGACAGGCCATGCAAGAAAATCCTTCGGTGCTGCTTGTCAGCGATCGGGCAGTGGTTGATATTGACTGGAAGCTTGCAAGCTTTTTCCTGCCAACTTAGTTCTCTGATCAGGTACATAAATCTGGGCCATGTTTTGCTGGAATTCGGAAGGCCTGCTGACATCAGGTGCCGTCCTCAAGTTGTGCAACGAAGTGCTGCTGCAGATTGCATATCTGTCTGGTGGATCTGGTCGGACAGGAAAGCGCTGGAGTGTTACTATGAAGCCAAGGGCAAGGATCCTGAGGACAAGTCCGTGCGCCGTGGAAGCCTTCACTGTACTTTGTAGCTCTGCACTCATGCATGCTCGTTGATGCAGGTGCGGAGTTACATTGCACAGGCTCACTTCATGTTGGAGGAGAAAGCCCTGTAGTATCCACTTGATTTGCCGTTTTGTGCCTCGAGCGCAGGAGTTCGAATTAGCATCATGCTCTCTTGCCGAAGCTGTTTACTATCGGCCAATTTCTTAGTCACAGAAACTTACAGTGCACAGGGCCGTGCTCCGGGTGTTCATGGCTCAGGCCAGGCGACATGCAGCTACGCTTCAACCAAGCGACTTGCTGGGAAGCTTGGGCCAGGCGGGAATGGGAATCGGGGAAGCGTGTCTGGTACTCGCTAGTAACACTCTGTGCTGGACATTTCAGGCACGTCCTCTTAAAGAAACTCGAAGAAAGAACAAAGACACACGACGACATGATCGAAGAGGTGGGCCCGTGGGCCCATGAGCAGGAAGGGCATTGTCGGCAAGTAGAAACTTTGCTAGGTCAAGTCAGCAATAGGGGCCTTGGTGAGTGCCGACCGCGTGTGGAAATCTCTCCGGTCAGAGTGGGAAAGAAAGCCAGGCCCTCGTCGGCTCTCGGATTTGTCGGGTGTTTCCACGTGTGCAAACTGAGGTCCGACTCCGAACGCCGCGCTATCGCAAGCACCACAGGCGCACCAAAGAAGTTTCTCAAGGACGAGAGCACTTTGCAAAGTTGCTTGAGTCGCTGCGTGGGGTGGGGTGGCGATTGAGGAGATGGACAAAATCTCAGATCATGTCGACTACTGTTCGCACCTGATGAACGCTGCCTGCAGCTAAGATCATGACACGGCGTTGTTTGGAGAAGCAGCTATTAGCAAGGAGCACTCTACTCCTGCCTTGTGGAAATGCTGCATGATGCATGGCGGCCTCAAGCAATCAGGCGCAGGGAAAGTTCACGGACATTTCCACCAAGAACGACACAATGCAATTGCAGTCTACTGGCATCGATTATTTTGTTTTCCCCCCATTGTCAGATTGAGATGCCCACCAAGCGTTGGTAGAAACCAGTAACTCCTATGACTCACGCGGTTTCGATCGGAAGTCAACGTCTTCGGCCAGGATAGAAGCCATTGCGAAGCAAAAGGTGCGAACTCTTGCAGCCAAGAGTTCCTCGCGACACTTTGTTTGTTCAGGCAAGGTCAGAGAAGGAGGCTGAGGCCTGGGAGCCCCGGCCTGGAAAAGCTTGATTCTATCCGATTCCGTTGGCCGCGTTGCCCACTCATGCTGCCTGTGGCTCTTTTGGCTCTGGAGCTTTTGCACTATTGAGTCACTACTGTTCGATGGTCAACTCACACGACATGAAGCGGCACCGCAAACCGGACACGCATACAGGCCCAGCATCGCGGTGACAGTCGAGAACACTTTGCCATGGAGTCTGCAACAAGCCGACTGGGTGAATTGGAGAAGTCCTACAGTGACCTGGCGCAGCATCTCGGAATGGCATGAGTGTCTTCTGTAATCTTGTCCGTGTATCACTCGAGGCATGCGCAATTAGGATCACAAGCATGCAGCATGCATGCACAAGCGTGCAGCTTTGAGCAGTTTGACAACGTTTGACGAGCTTTTGGACAAAGACGTTGATCGATTCGAGCGGAGGTCGCTGCACCGCCCCACCAATGTGAGATACACGGTGCTTTGGGACCGACGGTTTGAATCCGAAGCTGAATCGGTCCTTCTTGGTCCACCCATGACCGCACAAGGACTTGGGTACGCTACTCCACACCCTTTACACATGCTTTCCCCAAGGCACGTTTCAGCAGGGAGTGGTGTCTCAGTTCACTGTTGTATATGCGCAGGTTGCGGCGACTCATCGTCCGTCATTCAATCATTAAGGACCTGCTGCCTCTCACTCCTGCATGGCTAGCGCTGAGTGAGATGTTAGCTTGGCTTGCAAGATGCTTGGGCAGTCAATCGCATGTTGGCGACCAGTCAGAAAAAGGGTTAAGCGGCAGAGTGAAACTTCTTGTTACCAGCTCAACAACTGCCGTCTCCTTGCTCTTCTCCTCAACCCTGGGCAAGTGGTGCGTGACAAGATGTCACAAGAGTGCTGCGAGCCGGAACAACATCAGTCTCGTCGACAGTGCTCGAAGCAGCGAGCGTCTTACTATGAGCAACTGTTCGCATTTGCCTTCAGCCTTGAACCCTGCGGGCCGATTCTTGTTGTTCACCGTCGTGACGTGAAGCTCATGCTCAAGCTCGTGCCGTCTTCCATGACATGTCCGGCATCTCGCCGAGCTCTTGTCGTGGCCATTCTCGGTTCCTATTCTTGTAGCGGAGGGAGGTTGTGCAGTGTGGCTTTGGAACTGTTGTGCTTGACTTGTCAAGCAGTTTCATGTGAGGAGTTTCTTTCAGAAGAAGCAGCCGAAGCCATGTGCCTCCATGATGCGGAAGGAGTTGCGTTGCATTTCACAGCGTCACACTGCGACCGGCACGAAACATGATCCTGCAGGAGCTATGCCAGCTTCGTCAACAGGTCTTAACCTTTACACAGTTCCCGCCCCACCCTGCTGGTGTCAAAACCTCCGAGGCCAACCGACAGCGCTGGATATGTTGGGAAAGTGATGCGACAGGTCTCGAAGTCGAGGCCGCATCCTTGTGCTTGCCAGAATGTCCAGCTATGGTGGGGGCACGGGTCAGCTAGGTTGAGACATGAGGTTGCCATGCTGAGTGGACGATCTTGGACATTCATCATTGGCAATACGGCCAAGGCCACGCAGCAGTTTTTGTTTCTGGCGTCTGTGTTTGTTCAACGAACAATGATAGCAATAGCGCGGTTCATCCAGAGCTGCACTTCCACCGTGATGCCCTTTCATGTCAGTCCTGTCTTATCGACAGAATCACGTCGATGCCTATAACGAGGTAGTGCACCATTGTCATGAGGATTCATGAAAGCGAGTCGGCAAGTCCACTCCTAATTCTCTTTGTGGGGGTGCTGTCGGACATCTGCGTGTTTTTTTTTTTTTTTTTTTTTTTTTTCCGGTCCTTCAGTGTGACCTGCTTTCCTTGCGATTAGCCAGGGAAGCATTTAGGGCAATCACGTTTCTGGACTGCTCCTCTTGAATCTGATCAACTCGGATCATTTCCGGAGCCTCTTCGACGGCTTCTTTCCTAGTGGATCCTGTGGCAAGTGTGCTTCACGAAACTCTGTCCAGATGTTGTCGCTGCCATCTGCGGCCTTGACGGGCAGGTTTAACAGCTGCACACGACAGCCAGACAAATCTTAGCTGCCAGTAGTGCATTGAGGGAATGTCGGACTTGTGGTGTTTAACTCACAGAAATCCCACACAGTGGCCCATCGCTTCACGGTCCTGGCAGGGTGTGGAGGTCAAGGAGCGACTGGCAGAACTGTTGGTGCCTCTGTCAGAGCATGCTGCACACGTGGCTGACAGACTTCGTGCTGAGAAGTTCCCGTGCCATCGAGGTCAGGGATTCACCAGACTGAACTATCTCTCGTTTGCAACGGTAGACAGATCAGAGACGACGAGGTCCGTTCAGTGATAGAAAAATCAGAGCCAAACAGTGCAAGCGATACCAGAGCATACGCGAAGCCTGAGTGTTCAGGTGTTGCTGCCAACTTTCTTCTCTGAACTCGCTGGCCCACCTCCGCAACTGCAGCTTCTTAGGATATTCAGGCCCCGTGCTTCTTGCTCTTTCACTCGGACACCTTGACTAGCTTTTGCTTGAGCCTGACATGTTCTCAGCGCAGATGATATACGGTCCAGCTTCAATTGCTCGCAAGCAGGCCCTTCGCTTTGACTTGCAGCACAGCCAGGTGCTCAGAACGACGGCACTGGGTTGACTTACCTGCCGGCAGAAAAGCATTGCACGAGCCACGCTTCAACAGATGCTTCCACTAGCTTCCATCTCAGTAGATTTACAATGACTGACATGAAACAGTCTGATGGGCCGTAGTTGACCGCATTGTGTGGCGGGAATATGCCTCAACGAGAATCCACATCGCGGGGAAACACTACCAGAACGGAAAGCACAGGAGGGCGAATGCAAGCGGACCGATGATGTTATCGTTCTTGCGCTCTTGTGTGTGAAAGCTCTCGAGATCATCAGCCTCTTGAACCTGGTGTTGGTGTTTTAACGTAAGAACACTGTAGGAACCACAGGCCTGCTCAGGCATTCAGTTCGTCACTCTGTGACAGTACCCAAATCAACTGGCGGTGCCCTGTAGCCTGGTGCTTCTTTAACGGGAAGGTGTGCGGAAGTCTGCACCAGAAGCGACGAAACGAGATTGTGCTTTGTGTGTACTCGCTTGTCGTGTCACCAGTTTACTTGTTGGAGCAGCCCTCGTTCTTGTAACTTCGAAAAGATAACCGTCTCGTGGTGCAGAGTCAGGGGTTCATGATTGATTTTGTGTTTCATGCCCTTTCAAAGCATCCTTTGTTTCCGGGGGTACTATGATTCATGCTGTCTTTTCCTTTTTGCCAGGCGCGGGATTGTGCTCAGCTCTACCGTAGTTTTGTGTTGGGGCAAGTCTGGAGAAAAGGACGGGCTGTAGGCCCTGAGAGCAGTCAGAAGACGAGGGTTGTGTTGACATGTCCAAGACCGATCTCAGGACTGTACGCTGAAGATGTGGGACATGGACCGAGCAGAGTGCGCACTCAACTTACTGAACTTGTACGGTGATTTAGCTTCCACTAGTCTCAATGCGTTGACGACGACGGCGTCGGGGAGGAGGAGTAGGAGGACATGTCCCGCTGCAGGTGCAAACCCTGCGAGGTCATGGAGATGGTGTGATGTCGGTCGCGGTATTTGGCCCGGGCATATACTGTACCATCCATTGCATTGTAGCCATACATGTTCCGACACTTTTCCCGCTTCGTGTCCAACTGAGGTCGATTGGAAATCGAGATATGCTGTAAGCGGCGCACATGTTCGCTACCCAGTCAGCATGAGAGTCATTGGATGTTGTGAAACATGCCTCTTTATTGGTGTCTTGTTCGACTGCCAAGTTGAGCTCTTCGTGAGCTGTCTGCATGATCTCATGTTGTGTAGTTTGTGCATAGTCCGCACAGATGCCAAGTAAAGAACTGATCTTTGGTACCAGAGAGGCCTTAGGCCTCATCGTGTGCGGTCGTGCTTCCGGTTCGTGGCCCCAACCCAACCGGGATACATTGACCTGCTTGTTGCATGATGGCCCTGTCGAGCTGGCATTTCGTCCGGGTTGCTGCAGCCCTGCCTGTCCCACAAACTGTGGCAGAGACAACACCTTGCCTCACCTGCTGTCCTGTGCTTCGTTCCACTCTGCACCTTGCGCTTCCATCCCACATAACTGTGCGACTAGTGCAGCAACTGCGTGCAACTGCGGCAATCCGGAGGTTTGCTAGTTTAGGTCCAGTCTCCACTTGGGCGTCAATGCTCTTTTGCGAGATCCTCGTTGCATCCTGTTGCCGTCAGATGTAGTTGGCATGCAACTGTTGACCCCGGAAGCCGATGGATCCGTGCCTCCGGAGACGCAGCTGCTGAAACAGGACAATCAACCTGAAGCGTCCAGAGATGAGATAGCCATGCAGCGGCAGTCTCACGCTTTGCGAGCGGTTCGTCTGACGAACCAACAGATGGCAGAGCGAAGTAGGGAGACTCGAGAGTTCCCGAATACTTAGATGCTTTATTCAACTCTATTCGAAAGCATGATGAAGTCTCAGGAAATGCAATGGAGCATGATGGTGCAAGTTGTCGTCGCGCTCGATGAGGCGGATGTCATTGCAATGTGGGTGAAGCCCGCTGAAGATTTCCTTGGCGTTGGGCTGCCAGTCACTGAAAATGGCCTTCCGGACGGAGTTGATTCGGAGTTGATGTCGCCGCAGCAGGCAGCGCAGCTTCGAGGGGTCATCCAGGTACTCGAACGAACTTCTTCCTCGACGTGGCTAGACAGGTTTCGCCCTCGCCATCAGATCCGGCACTGCCTCCGACGCTACCTGCTACACGCAACTGGCGCAGAAACCCGAAACTATAATGGCAAGTATGCCGAGTACTGAGCAAAGGGATTGGGAAATGGAACTTTTCGTCCATGCGCAGATGTACGCGGAGTACTTCGACAGCTTCCTCATCGGCGATCTCGGGAGATCAGCGCTCGTCCGGAAGGCCAACTTCAGTGACTGGCAGCATTCCGCTAAGGACAAGGCCTCAAGAGTCAGCCCCAGCAACAGACCGACCAGCAAGAGCAACAAAAGCAGCAACACGAAACGACGAACACGAGGATGATGTGCCACACACCATTGCCGTTGTGCGAGATCTGCTGTGTCTGGCAAATGTCGGTCGCATGTCCCGTGAGCACGGCTCGCTCTGTGACTTATTTCCCGCTGACGCCTCCTAGTCCGTGCTCGGCTGCGACGAAGTTTGCCATGTCGGGGGATGCCTGAGCATCGCCGATGCCAGCCGCCACTACCTGGGCTACCATGAGCGTCACCGACGCCTGCTGCCTGTCTGCCTGGGCGGACTCGCGTCCGGAGTACACCCCATGCCGTGCACTCATGTCTGCACGGTGGAAGGGGAGGTATATATCACAACAGTTGCGAATCATGACGCCTGCTGGGTGCCCCCTGAAAGGAGTCGCTGCCTGCTGGGCTGTGTGGAACTGTCGCTCCACGTTGGTCCTTTCCTGCTGATGTCAGCTTGACATGAGGAGACATTCCCCGCCTCATGCCTTACTGCCCTCTGCGGGGTCCTCGACTACACCAGAAGAATCCGCAACACGGACCCGAATGGGAAGAATGGGGCGCTGCCATGTGCAGCCCGCGAAGATGGAATCCGCTGATGACCTGTGGTTCAGGTGGTGGCGCGGTAGACCAGCTGCCGGCAGCAAAATCTGCTCTCTCCGTTGGATTGCCCCCAGGGTACAAGCCTTATTCCTCAACTTCGCGCGGTTCCGTCAACCAAGATTCCGTCAACGGCGCTTCCTTCAACCATGTTCCCCGCTTCCCTCAACTCAGATGTGCCGATTCTTTCAACCCCATCGCCCGCTTCCCTCAACCCGGATATTGCCGATTCTGTCAACCCCCATCGCCCGATTCCATCAACGCATACTGTGCTGATTCCGTCAACTCCGCCCCCCCGGTCAGGGTTGAGTGAGTACTCGTGGTTGGGGTAGCACGCGTGTCTGTAGTTGGAGCGACTCTTTCCGTATGGGTTGAACGAAGCAGTTGTTTGGGTTGAAGGAATCATTCCCGAGGCCATGGTTGAGTGAATCTCCTGCTGGGGTTGAAAGAATCAGGTTGTGTATGGGTTGAACGAAGCAGTTCTTTGGGTTGAAGGAATCATTCCCTTGGACATGGTTGAATGAATCTGTGTTCTGAGGTTGAAGGAATCAGGTTTTGAGGTTGAAGGCATCCGCGTTTCCGGGTTGACAGAATCCGCGGGCAGTGGTTGACGGAATAATCGGCGAAAAGTTGAAGGAATCCGCGCGCGACCTTGCCCCCAGTGCCAATGTGGCGCAACAGGCCGTTCGCTGCCGGGCATGGTGGCAAGGACGTTCTCTGCTCAAGGTACCCCCTTGACATTTTGTCAAATCCCCCGTTCGATTGCAGAGCCATCGTGCCCAAAATGTGGAATCCTGTCTTGGCAGCTTCCAGCTTACGAGCATTCGCTCCGTGAAATGGATCCGGGTTACCCAGATGACAACGTCCATGAAGCCAGAACATTCCTCGGGGAGAAAGAGAGAGAGCATCGATAGTGGCTCTCAACATGGAAGCACTTTGGTGGCGGGTGCTCGGTAGAAAAAGTATCGGTGGGCCATAACAATCTCACCTACCGCCCTCCGCTTTGTCTTGTACATCGAGAAGCTTTCACCGGCAGTGCATCTAGCTTGATACCGATTTCGTTTCGTTGCACGTGGTGGGGCAAGCAAGGCAAGTTGTGGAAATCAGGTAGTTAGTTGTCCCGATAGATTCAAGTGGTGCAAGGAGTGGAAACGGGATATGGAACTACCCAAACTATACAACCCACGTCACTGAGGACTGCACTCTTCGCGTGTGGGATTTGGACCACTGCATCTGCGTGATTGCCGAAGCTTTTGATACTTGTCCTTCCAACAGCGATGCTGCCACCCGAACGCTTTGAGGTTCAAGCTTTCCAGGTGGATGACCATCCTGCCTTCTGTCGTTTGCTTACGAGGTATTTTCTTGTGCCGGATCTGCCACAGAATGTGATCACCATTTTGGGTGCCTAGCACGTTCAGGTCTAGACTTCGATCATTCCTGCGGCCGCATTCTCACAGGCAGGGCAGCACGCTTGTCTTGAGGACATCGTGCGTGCAAGAAGGAGTTTGGCGAGGTTCATGGGATAAGCAAGTGAAGATCTGGGACAGCGAGACTGGCGTTCCTCTGCTGAAGTCACTTTTTTTCTAGGCTCCAAGATCGCAAGCTTCTGCAAGCTTCCTCAAGGTATGCCTCGGCACCTTTAAGGGCCACAGCGGCATGGTCAAAGTCGTGAGGCAGTTCATCTGCCCCCTTTGAAGTTCTACCCGTGCGAAAGTGGTGCAGAGTGATGAAGGCTTCACTGGCCCCGTCGTCGTGCTTTGAGCGGTTCATGTGATGGTGCCCTGGCCAGTATGGTGAGTATAAAGATGTATGAAGTGCAGGCATAGCAGCACAGCGGTAGCTCGGCTTGAAAAACGTAGTGGTGCAAGATCAGTCTTTCTGCGTAGTTCTGCCGCGCTCTTCCTTGTGCTTGGTCAAGCTTTGACCTGATGCCTCCTCACGGGGTAGCTGAACCGACAGGGATCAGGATCAGGAGAACTCGTTACGCCGCGCCCAGCGAAAGTTTCCTGCCGATTCGTTTGGCTCAGTTTTTGCAGGTAAGCAGAAGGACAGCCAATAACTCTTGCATCGGTTCTTGCGCATCGCCATGTAGTTGATAACTTTGCCTACTCCCCGTAATGTAGCATACTTTACGAAGCCTTTTGTGCGGTTTCTGCGTGTTCAAACTTCTTTGTTTGCAGATACTGCTCCTGGTTCTTGTGGCCAGTCTTCATGTCTTGTGTTCTTTTTAATGTTAACGCTACGCCGCCCGCCTCGGCTCTTTAGCGGCAGGGCGAGGGGGCAGTGGATGTCGTATACACCATGCTAGGGTGGCCTCTCAACCCCAACCTTTAAACGGTTGGGTGTCGAGCGCGGGAACGCCATCTTCCCGCGTCACTGCTCTTCTGCTGGTCATGCGGCCGTGGACGGCTGGGGGAGGGGGAAGGAGGGGGGGAGGGGCGGGGAGGGGGGGGCGAGGGGGGGGCGAGGGGCAAGGGGGCCGGGGCTGGGGAGGGGGGAGGGGCAAGGCCTACAAATCAGGTATAATGAAGGGAAGCCGGGCAAGGAGGTGGCAAACGAACGCAAAAAACAGGTGTCTCCAAAATTTCGGACTGCAGGCAGGAGATTTTTTTGTGTTCGTTTGTGTTGGGTCTCCATAGTCTCTACCGGGTGTCAGGTGTGGTGGTCTGTCTTGGTTCTTAGTTTTTTTGGGTCGTCTGGTGGTTTCTACTCACATTGCAGTGTTTTGCGTGGTGGTTCGTCTCCAGATGTTTGATCAACGAGATGAATCTTCATCGATTCTGTTGACATGGGATCGATCCCAGCTCCGTTCCCTCGGGTGCCTCCTGGACTTCAAAACTCAATGCCTTCCTAAAGCTGATTTTGACCACCAAGGAGAAGTTCATGTGGCAATCGTCTGTGAGTCTGTATTTTTGACATGGACTTCTTGAGTTCACAGAGAGTTTCCGGACATGGAGATCAAATTCTCTCCGTTGTCTAGAGTCGACTGTACTGGGGGTTTCTCTGGGAAGCTCCTTTAAAGTGATTCTGTCTGACACGAGGTACGCTGAAGCTATGGGATCTTGGCGCAGAGTCAAGCTGCATCCGGTCTCTGAATGGACACCAAGACGAGGCGCATGTATGGCACTGTTCAAACGACTTCGTTTGCCAGACGTTGCTTTTTGGTGCACTTTTTGGTGCATGCAGAGCACAGACTGCATCGACCGCTTATTCCCAGCTCATGCAAATCAGTTGGACACATGAACGTGGCATGCACTCACTGCACCACGCGATGCTGGTCAGGTTTGGTCCGCAGATGTGGATTGGTCCCGAAACACGGCTTTGAGTGGATCCGCGGACCGGCTTGCTGTGCTTCCCTGTCTGCCTTTTCGTCGCATCTTCCCTAAACTGAGGCCTAAAGATGCAAGTAAGCTTCGGGATCTTCGTCCGGTAGCCGTTCTAGAAGCCAGTGTGCCAGGACTTTACTCTGCGCGTCTGGAATTTGACTACTGGTGATTGTTTCTGGGCTCAGAAGTTCGACAATGACTAGGTTGGCTGAAGCTTGCACTGGGGCATCAGGCTTGGCAACTTTGCGTGGACATACCAACGGTGTGTCTGCCGTTTCGCTCCAGGCTAAGGAAGGCCGGCCACCAGGCTCTGTCCCGATGATACCTTTCTTTCCCAACGGACCCCTGTGCACGGAAGGCCGCGCGCTTAGCAGCTCATGGGACAGGAGCTTGCGGCTGTGGGATGTGAACAGACAAGCTGGGAGCTCGGCTGAGCCATGAGTTTCTAGTTCTAGTGCTTCGGCACCATTCGGCACCATGCTCAGGAATGTCTGGTACTGCTAGTACACGGTAGTGCGGCCTGCGCCTGAGCTTTCTGATGACGCGCTTGAGTACAAAGGCCGTACTGTGTTAAACTGGGTGGAACAAAAGACAAGCTCCCTACATTGACATGAATAAGGGGCAAACGTTCGAGTGAGGATCTTCTGCGAGACTTTGTTGAAGCGCCGGGGTGGGCTGTCGCGGACGTCAAACACAGGAACGTGGCCTTGATGACATAAGGCAGAGGAGGTCTTGGATCGATGATGCTCTTGGTCTTTCATGGAGCCGGGACGTGAAGAGAGTGCGGTTTCAGCAAAGTGGTGGAGAGGGGCAGTCAAATTGAAACTTCCCTTCTGCGTGGAAGCACGCTCGATAAATTGTATTCAGTTCCTCGGAGACTGCCTCTCACCGACAGCGTTGTCAGATCGAGACCTGACGCCAATGTCTTGGAAGGTGCAATGGACCACATGCACCAGACGGTACAGACGCACAGCACACACCGAGAGGGTCGTCAATTCCGAAGACGAATGAGGCAACAGTCACCGCACCACACGCCCAGCGCGATGTCGCACCACTTGTGCTCGTTGAATTCAGAAGGGATTCCGGAGCATGGCCAAACGCTTCCGGACACATACTAGCGATTTTACAGACCTGGTCTACCCCTAGTACTGGTGGGATTCAAACATTTGACAAAGCCAACAAAGCCACTGCGCACACGCGAAGCTCTCGGAGACGCCGGGATTCACCGAGAGGGTTGATATTTCGAGCCCAAGCCCAACTCAGGCTGTCCAATCCATTGGAATTTACACTGGATCACCTTTACTGGACGATGCAGACACGCCGTTGCGAAGGCAATGCAGCCGATTTTCCTGTGGTAGATGCGGGTCAGTTGCTTGTGCTCACCGTCAGGAGGAATAAGCGTAACGCAAAATGCGAGGATTTGCACAAGAGCCTTTACCAAGCTTGCTGTCAATGTTCGGTGGCATGAAAGAATCCATGCTGTGCCAGAAACCGGGTGAAAGCCGGGGGACCTTTGCGAGTTTTACAAGGGGTTGGGCATGGATGCTCTGGTGATCGCATGCAATTCGGAATGGACGTTCTTAGGGGCTGACTTTCTTAACCGCCCTTCTCCTCCCTCCCCTTCCCCAGAAAACGTGGACGTTAGCACGGTACACACGGCAAACGTGCTGCGGAAGCGCCGAACGAAATCCCCAGGCCAGATGCGCACCCGCGTGGTGCTACTAAGTTTACTACTCCCACTGCTTCTGCTACTGCTACTGCTCCTGCTTACGACGACTGTTGCTGCATGTTGCCGCTTTAGGTTTGCTATGTCTTGACATGCGACTTTAATGTACCGCGCGGCCATTTTGGCTTAAGTTCTGGTTTTCTGTTTTGTTCTGTTGCTGTTGTTGCCCTCTGTTGGACTGTTTCTGGTCATGTCGGTCCAACCTTTGCGGACTTTGGTGCGCCGTCTGAGGGCAGCAGCTGCCGCTGATGATGCTTTGCTGGGTGCTGCACTGGCCGCAATGCCCTCTGCTGAGGCATTGCGACTTTACTATCATCTTCGTGACCATGTGCAGCAAGCTCACGTGGATTATGAGACGGAGGGCTCCAGTGAGTATGATCTTCCCTCTTGTCCTGCAGCTGGGTCTTTGCATCTGCCATCTCAGGATGTCAACTCTGATCTCCTGGGTCTGGCACCCGACTTGCTGGATGTGAACCTTGTGTCGCCAGCTGCTCCTGACCAGCCTGCTTCTGTTGGGCCTGCCTCTGCTGGTGAGCCTTCTAAGGCGGCGGTTGGTTCTGACGCTGGGCTGGGCACTGCTGGCCCACAGGATGGCACTGCGACTGATGCGGGTGGCTCTGTGGCGCAGCCTGGGGATACTTCTGCTGTCTCTTCACCTGAGCTGATCCCTGCCACACCTGAGGACGGTGGCTCTGGCGTTCGGGATGTGGCCCCTGATCTTGCTGCATCTGCCTCTGCGGATGTGGCTCCCGATCTGGCTGCATCTGCTCCCGCTGCAAGTGTTGCTGGGGCCGACCCTGAGGTGAGCTCTTCTGGTACCGGCGGCAGTGCAGATGATGATGTTGTTCCTTGGGAATGGCCGGCCACCTCGGTCCTTGACCTCAACGCTATGGACGGCTTGGATGACAGCGCTGAGCCCCGTGATACTGCTGTCACACTGCCTCCTGAGGACACCTCGGTGGTTGACCCGCCGTTGGCTTCTGATGCTGTGGCTGAACAGCCACCTGGCTTAGGAGCTGGCGCCCCGGAGCAGAGGACGCCGACTGTTGCTACGCCTCCACCGGCCTTCCCTTTGGCTTCTGCTTCTTCTGCTACTGATCCTTGGGCGGGGTATCAGGGTCTCACTGTGCATGCTGTTCCTGCTCCTGGTGGCTCGTCTGCCCCTGAGTTCGCGAGGCTTCGCCTGACTGGGACGGCGAACTGCCCGTATGTCTTAGCATCCGACGTGCGTGCGGGAATACCGCTCGATCTGTTGCGGTGCTTTCCCTTGCGACAGCCTCTCCGTGATCTGCCTGCTGATCTGCAGCGTCACGGGCATGCTTTGACAGGCTGGTGCAGTACAGCATGTTGGGGCGACTGCGGGCACGCCTGCAGTCGCCCCGTCTCAGATTCGGCGCGTCGGCCGCACAGACGCCATTGTTGCGACAGATGTCGCGATCTCTGAGATTCCTGAGCTACTGTTGTTTTTGGTGAAAAATGGGCCGGTGCGCTCGGAGTCGACTTGTGTCCGACTTGCTGCCCTGGGCACTGGCCCTCTGACTGTTTCTCTGCAGCTTGTCTGGCTCTGCCTTGTATCTGGGGGGTCCTGCTGCCTGGGGCCTTGAGGCCTGGCCGCTGGTACCTGTCTCTCCTGCGAGAGTCTTCACCCCCTTGTGCAGGTTGTGGTTTCGCGGGCTTGGGCCCCGGTGGCTTGTGCCTCTTTCCGGGCCGCTGGTTCTTGTGAACCTTAGGTCTCCTGGGGGGCTCTGGCTCCTTTGTGGAGTCTCTCGTCCTCGAGGTGTGGTGTGCACTTGTGTGCGGTGGTCACTGGCTGCTTGTGCAGGATCCCGGCTGTTGCCTTCATCTGCCTCTGGCCGATGCCTCAGGCTTGTGCCTTCACGTCCTTGGCACCTTGTTTGTGCCAGGTCTTGCTTCCTGTGCCAGGCCGGGCTTGGGCCGGTCACTGGTGTTCTGAAACATCTGCTTGTGCAGGCTGTCTGGCTACTTGGTGGCTTCACTACCCGAGGCGGGTCATTCAAAGTGCTGAAAACAGCAGGTGCGCGCGCGCGCGCGCGCGCGCGCCCCCCCCCCCTGGTCCTGCCTGACTTGTGTCCTGGCAGGTGCTGGTGGTGGTGCTGGCCACTTGTGGCTTTTCTGCCTGAGGCCAGCCTTTTTCAACTGGTCCTGCCTGACTTGTGTCCTGGCAGGTTGCTGGTGGTGGTGCTGGCCGCTTGGGGCCTTTCTGCCCGAGGCCGGCTGCTTTCAAGTGGTCCTGCCTGACTTGTGTCCTGGCAGGTTGCTGGTGCTGGCGCTGCCTGTTCTGAGCCTGTTTCTGATCCGGCTTTGCGCCTGTTTCTGCGATGGCGAGTGTGGCAGACAGTGCAGTCACGTTCGCTAGCAAAGCTAGGCAATACGGACTGAGCCAGTCTGTGTTAGACAGTTTGAGTGCTGCTGGCATCACGACGTATTCTGCTTTGCTTTTCGCCGTGGCGAGTGCGCCTGGGGCTGTGGACGAGGCTAGGCTTAAGGCGGCCAAGGATAAGCACCTGGGCCCTGGTGCTTCTGAAGGAGCGGTCGCCGCTTTTTCGCGACTCCTCTTTGAGGCCGGGACTTTCGTCGTCGCCGAGCTCAGGAGTTCGGTGGCCGGCGAGGACGATGGCTCCAAGAAACTTACTTCGCAAGAGCGTGCCAGTCGCATGGATGCATTGCGCGCCAAGTTAGGCGCTTGGCCAATCACTGGCTCTTTCGAGCCGAGTCATGTTCTGATTGATGCCGCTTTCGGCATGGTTGCTGATAGCTCTGTGCGGTACTTGCCGCCGAGCAAGTGCAGCTCTCGTGAGCAGGAAATTCTTTCAGAACGGCGTGACGACACGTTGTTTCGTCTTGAGGCCACTGCTCTGAAAGCTGCCAAGAAGCCTGTCCTGCCTAAGGTTGACCTTGGTAATGAACTCAGGTTGTATCAGGCGTTGAGCCGGCGAGGTGTCGCACTGGAGGTTGCTGGTGTCTGTTCTTTTGCTGTGCACGAGAACTACGTGCGTGGTCTGTTGGACCACCTCCAGCGCATGCCTCCTGCTGGGTATTCTGCTCCTGGCATTGACTCTGTGCTGGCCGCTGATCGTGCTGTCTGGCAACATGTCGCGGCTCAGGTGCCTTGCCTTCCTACTGTGGATGTTGCCGCTAAGGTCGATGCTGCTCTGCTCGCTGCTGCTGGAGCCCCTGCTGTTGCCTTTCATGTCATGCCCAGGGAGAAAAAGCGGGCTCTTGACGATGCAGCAAAGCCGCCCGGCAAGACGGGGAAGGGCGACGGCGGCAAGGACAATCGTCCTGGCAAGGGCAAGGAGAAAGGGGGCAAGGGCAAAGGCGGCAAAACCCCCGGTGGTGGGAAGCCTGGGTCGCCTGCCAAGCAGACTGCTGTTCCTGCCGCCCTCAAGGGGTTGGATCCCAACAAGGATGGCACGCCTTTGTGCTTTGATCGCAACTTGGCTCACGGTTGCAAGCGCGAGACCTGGCAGACTCCTGCCGGGTTGCAGTGTGAGAAAGGGCTGCATTTGTGCATGAAGTGTGGCAGCCCTGACCACGGTGCGCATGCATGCAGCAACTGATGTGCAGGCTCTGAGGTTGGGCCGTTGGGTGCTGCTGAGGCTGCTGTTTCCTCTGTGGAGTGTATCCTGGAGGCGCAACCTGTTGCCTCTGCTGACTCAGTCACTGCGCCCATGCCTCAGTGTTCTACTGCTGCTTTCACTGTGTCTGCAGCCGCTGAGCCTGCGGCTGGTGTCGCTGCCGCACCGCCAGTTGCTGCTAGCATTTCTCCTGTGTCTCCTTTGG